GAACTGTTGAAAATTAGGTTCTGACACGGCATCCTCCGCGCAAGATCGGCGCAAGCGCGCGCAAGACGGCGCGCAAGAAAGCCTGCCCAAAACCATGGAGGATCCAGCACAACTTCTTGAGCCTTGAAGCCCGATTGTTGTACCCGCAGCCGAAGCTTCGACTCGAAGCAACCAAGCATCAACAAGCCATAGTAACAAATCTATATAGTCTTAAGAAACCCTCGCGCGCGCAAGCAAGCCCAAGGAACACGCAAGGGCGAAGCACAAGGGATCCTAATTGGCATGCGTGGAACAAGGATATAGAACAACCCTCATATAGTACAGTGAGAAGGGTGTGTCATATACAACATAAATGTTGATGTAAACAATACGTTTTGTGTAGTTTGATATTGGCATGAGTGTGACCTCTACTGTTGACATAAATGTTTGGGCAGTATTTGGCCTATTTGTATGAATATAGCAAGAGTTCGTTTGGGGGATGCCATGACTTTAAAACTTCGGGTCTGGAATGCTCATGCGAGGATACCACAGCTACATCTGGATTAATGAACCTGTTGGTGAATCCAATGTATGGTCTGGGTTTCTCCTAAGGCGGGTTGCTCTTGAGGGAAGTATCCGTTACAGTACGAAGGCTCCCAATCCGAACAGCGTATGGGTCATCCTAAGATCGGTCTTAAGTTTGCGAATAAGGTACATTTTGGAGTCAAATCCAAGACTGGGGCTGTCAAAGGGACTGCAGTATCCTTACTATCGGGGGGCTAATCAGGCTGATGTACATTATTGTATGAACCTGCAGGTCGATATGGGTATTAATATGAGGATGTATAATGGGGTTACTCGTCGGCATAGCATTTTAACGCGTACGAAGTAAGACGTTGATCTATAAGGCATTTTCTCGCGTGAACGTAAAACAGAGTACTAGTGCCACCCTTGGGGCCAAGGTAAGGGCTAATGGCAGGGTTAATCATTGGGATACTGTTGTTCAGGAATAGGAGTCAATGAAGGCTCACGCTTATTCATACGTATTGCTGGGGCTTTGATCTGAGACGACAGTGCAGGCTATCTTGGGAGTTAATACTCGGGCCCATCTTGATCTTCTGGTATTCAGACAAAAACTTTCATCGTTAATCTTCTCGGAGTATCTGTGTGAAGGGCCGCAAGGAATTGAGAATGAAGGCGGCTGCCGTCATACATATGCTCTCCGTTCGGAACTTCAAAACTGAATCATACACCAGAAGCCTAAATGTAGGAGGATTGGTGTCGGTATCGCGGCACCTCGCGGTAGTTCTTCGGGGGGGTTAGCATATTATACATATATATATATACATATACACATATAATATGTCACATATACATGCAGGATTTCCTGTATATATGTATACATACATCTATATGTATATACAGGTATATATATATACACATGCATATCTATCTATTTACGTCTGTCTGTATGTCTGTATGTCGGTATGTCTGTATGTATGCATGTACGTACATAATCTGTAGTTCAAAGAACTTGGGAAACCCCCCAAGGCCGCCGGCCCTTTTGTGGGCTGATGGGCTGCTTTCAGGCAGGCGTTGTGGCGTAAGAGCCATCTGAGCTGGGTAGCTCCACCCAGAGACTCCAAAACCCCTTAATTCAGGAATATTCCTTAAACCTTATTAGGGCTCTTATTATATTTTAAGGTATATGCCTTAATTAAGGGGTTTTGGAGTCTTTGGGTCCCAAGAGCATTCCAGCAGGGCATTCAGCCCCAATTCGATAGAAAGGCCGAGAGCAGCCAGGGGGAAGGCAAACCGTTCCGAAAAACGGAGCACTCAAGCGGCCCCAAAATCACAGGAACCTCGTTGTTAATCCCCTTACAGAAGTCTTACAAGAACCCGAAACGAACCCCATTCGGAACAGAGCCTTCCCCCAGCTTACAGCGTTTCGACGTCGACCGTGCAGGTCACCTTTTGGGCAGGTCCCTGCAATTTCGTCTCAACTGCTAACGGGGTATAGAATTTAGAATGCATGGTCGCATGCGTGAAGCTTGTTGCGGTGAACATCGCATACTTGTGCAACTTTCAAGCAAAGGACTTTTGAGGTTGAGACTGGGCAGGGCAAGTTTCGTCAGCGCAGATCAGAGACGTCCGCCTGTTAGTTTGGCCACGCGTTTTGCGAGAGCCTTTGATGGGGCAATGGAACCGCTCCAGCTCATCCTAGAGCAGATTGGCCGAGAGAGGCCACAGCAGCACAGCAGGGCCATGGGAATGACTTCAACACGATTTTCAGGAGTCGGATGCAGCACCACAGGCCACCTCAGTCATCATAATATCAGTACTGCCATTCTTGCTGGCAGTACTACGCAAAGCAGCCAACCGACTTGGAAGTGTCGATCGACCATACCGTTGCGACCGTAGCACTGTAAGTGGTATCTGTGAGCACTGTCACGAACATGTTGGCATGTCGAACACCACGAACATCCACTGTTATCAAGATCTCTAAATGAACAGTGCCGACTAGTTTGATGTTCAGGATATTGAGGAAACTCGTAAAGGACATGATGGTCGCAGGGCTCGAAAAGATGAAACTAGTCGCACTGACAGCATGACCTAAAGTCCTAAAGTAACACGACCGATGTGCTGGATGGTACTTCTGATGAAGTCCGCGCATTCGGCAGAAACGGAAACAGCAGTAGTGGTACTAGTCGTCGTGGTGGGGGTGGGGGTGGTAGTTGTGGTGGCAGTAGTGGTAGCAGGCAGCAAGAACTGAATGAACGAGAGTGTGCTCAGAATCATTATAAAACTAACGATACAGATATCCTAAGTTGTTTAGGAGTCCGGATTCCGGTAATTAGCCGTCTTTGACCTCCTGGGTGCGTGCCCACTCTTGTCGGCCTGCCGACTACCGGCTGCCGGTGTGCAAAATGCCACTGCAAACGCCCAACTCTGAAATCCCTTGGCTTTTGCGTTCGCAACATGATCCCACCACAGCGCGGGAATCTTAGTCCGACTTTCTGCATGGAAAGTCCGTCTTCATCGTAAGTGCTCAGCACCGACGCAGCGGGGAGTTGGCAGAGTAGCAGTGAATCCATACCCTGAAGCCCTCAATGCAAGATTCCAAGCCCATAGCGATACTTCAGCGGTAACACATCGTACCGGCCTGCAAACCATCAGCTTCGTTTCAGGCAAGCATGCGAGACAGAAGTCACCACTGCTGCGTGGCAAAATTCCAGGGCTGGCGACAGCCTGCCTGCGACGCCCAACACGGACAGGCAGCACTGCCACCGTACGACGATGAGCAGGAGGCCGAGGAGACAAGGAGGAGGACGAGGGCGACGACGACTTACTTCACAACGACGACGACGACATTGACGACCACCACGGCGAGAGTGTCGACTGTACTGATAGTTGTTGAGACTCATCATCCTTTCCATCATCTTCAACCTTTATGCCTTTCGGGCCGGAATAGCAGTCGGAACTCGGACCACCAACAAGATCGGTCGGGTTTACCCACTCAATCCGCAATCCCGGGTTGACCTGAATAAAATTAGCGGTGTGCAGCTTAGTTCCATCTGGCGTATGTATCTTGAAAACTCAAAGATGAGTCTGAAGAACAGACAAGCTCACGCGCACACGCAGATACAGCACATGCGCGAGCACATGGACACTCAGGCTGAAACTCGTGCCCTTCTATCATAATCCGCATTCCGTGATCCCGTAATCTTCAGTCCGGTTCCATTGCATGATTGGTGGTTCCTTATTATAGTTATTAGTACAATACACCCCAGAAGCCTATTCAAGTTCGTAAGGCCCCTTTGTTACTTGGTTGTTGCCAACTCCCTCCAATAGAACTGTAGAACAGACGCAAAAGGAAGCGATGTCCGGCACTTTACCCCTTCGAGTCGGCCGGGTGTTGAGGATTGTGAGTAGGAACCTGATTAAGAAACCCTGGGCCTATAGCCCCAAAGTAGTAGGATTCATAGAAGGAACCCTAATAAAGGCCCAAGGTTTCTTAATTAGGTTCCTACATGAAGTATGATATACCCCCAAACCCCCCAAAAAGGGCCCCTATACCATAGTACCCTTATAGTATCCCCTGAAACAGAACCCCCTGTTACGGTTCCTACAGTACTCCTACTTTAGAAGACACCCCCGTACCATCTCGTTAGACCATCACGACGAGAGCAGCTCCGGGGTTCAGGGTTTAGGGGTCTACGGGTTTAGGGTTTCGGGCTTTTGGGTTCAGGGGTTTAGGGTTTTAGGGGTTTAGGGTTAGGGGTTGAGGGGTTTAGGGGTTTAGGGTTGAGGGGTTTAGGGTTCAAGGCTTTGGGGTTCAGGGGTTTAAGGGTTTAGGGAAGTTCAGGGTGTCAGGGTTGTAGGTGGTATTGAAAGCCCAGGGAGCAGAGATTTGCCCTGGGCGACTGTCACGACCACCCAAAGACTCCAAAACCCTTTAATTAAGGAATAAGCCTTAATTCATATTGGGGGTCCCAATAATCATTTAAGGTGTATTTCTTAATTAAAGGTTTTATAGTCTCTGGGCAGGGCATGCTTGCTGGTTACATGGACTCCGAAAGGTCTCGCCTCTTCTTCTTGTTCCTGCTGTTGCTGTTATCGTATGTAGAACTTCGCCCGCATGTAGAATTATGCGTTGTTTATGACACCGTTGTTGCATGAGCCTAGCATGCGTTGCCACACAGGGTGAGGCCTTGCACTGGTTTCGGGGTGTGTGTAGAGGTTTAGGTTTTCGCGAGTTCTTGTGGAAAGTTGCGTGCCCCCTCCCCGCTCAACGTCGAAGAAGTTCCATAAAGTCTTATGGTGATAGTAGTTGCCAAGAGCCTGTTGCCTTGCACCTCTCTTCCGATATTTTCACGGGCCATTATCATTATCATTATGAACATTATCACAATAAAACGATACATATTACTAATGTTATTGTTACTTTCGTCTTTATTTTTATGATGCTTGTTATTGGTATATATGACTACTTTCCTCCGGACCCGAAGTGTGAACCCGAGGTTGACATGTCCACCTTCTTGCGCAGGAGCAAGGCCGCGACCCAAGTCCGAGTGTGGCGCCTTTTAGGGTTTAGGGTTTAGGGTCTGTGGCGGGAAGATCGTGTCCAGTGATTGACTGAACCAAGTTTGCACACACTTCTGTACATCTTGCTCGCAGACATCCAGTAAGGGTTGCAAGTTCGTGTGGAACCATTCTCCCGCCTTTCCGGCCCAAGTTGTGGGAAGCTGGGTGACCTTGTCCTTTCCCTGCGGCCTACACCACAAAGAATTCGCAAAAGCTCTGACAGATGGCCATCGGTCAGCTGCCGGTACAAGTCGCATGCACCGTCCCAGATGGGATAGCGCTTCATATGGAGGATGTTGACGGCATCGGCGTCCCGAGTATGTCGATGACTTTTTCCATGAAAGTGAGCCTTCCTATTCATGACCTTCTCAAGATGTTGATTTCGTGGCAGGAGCACGAGGCTAGGTCCAGCAAGCATGTGCCCTCGCCGCAAGCGCTCCAAGAGACCCGCAAAGAGGCGAAAGAGGCCTGCGAAGCCAAAGGGCCGGCTCCTCTCCGGAACTCCCCGGCCTTTGTGGCGTATAAGGCCCAGAACGGCTGGGAACGGATCTCCGCTCCAAAGGTCGTCTTGCTCGAAGACGAGATGAAGCTGCGAGGAGCGACGTTCCAGGCCCTGCCTCTTCCGGAACACAGGGCCAGGAGCTACGCCGACTTCAGGCGAGACTCTGACCCGACCCTCCTCGCTTCCGCCACCGCCACCGCACCGGCCGACTCTGCAGAGATGTCGAAATCGAGCCCGAGGCCTTCGCTCTCTCCCAAGGCACCGCCCCCTGGTTGGAACTCGCCTGTGCGTCAAGCACCGCCTCGCCGGAGATCCGCGCCGGTGCTGCTAGCAGTGCCCGAGGACGGTCCAGGTTGGAACATCTGAGAGCAGGCACAGCCGCAGATTTCTGTGATGTGATGGGTTTGGCAAAAATGTGCCGTGTAGACATAGTACTGCAGAAGAGTTTAAAGCACATTTTGTAGTTGGGAGAAGATCCCGGAGTCCCGGTGATGCTAGCAACGCGTGACACTGGCTGCCCGGAGTGTGAAGCAGAGACGCCAGGCGTGCCAGAGAAGCTTCAGGACCTGGTTGGGGGTATCCTTATATAGGGAGTACAAGGGACCATGGGGGACCATAAGGGGCTATTGGGGAGCTTCAGGGGATGTCATTACTAATTCCATTACCGTCGATATCTGGTCGAAGAGGGTTGAGCAAAGGTAGTCGCCAGGCTCCCGATTGGTTTGGTGGCCTGTTCACTTCTTGGAGGATCGTGGGGTCGCAGTACAAGTTCTAAGCACAATTATCAGTATCTTACCAAGGGTTAAAATTACCTATAAATACAGTTACCCTAGTTCCCGATCCTGCAAGTAGGGTTTTTTTCGACTTCCAATCTCTGGATGCGAGTGCCGAGGATCCCGCGCCCCAGCGCGCTACATGAACAATCGGATTTTTGAGCCCTGCTTGGGTTTAGACGAACTCACTGTGCTCAGGTCGATATCAAGCAGGTCGGCAACTTCCTCGGGGAGGCAGCGCCAGGGCAACGTGAAGAGCACAAGAAAAGTTCAACCCCTCAACCCTCAACCCTGAACCGAAACTTCTCCGAATTCTGCCCAAACGACTTGTGGTTGCCTGCCGATATCTTGGCTCCTTCTGTAGGAGCTTGAATAATGGCGGCTTAGGGTTTGAGATTCAATAGAAGCCCTTAAACAGATACATTTCTCAGTATTTGGGCGGCCATGTTAGGATTCTATAGGGCTTCATAGCTACTGTACTATGACATCCCCCGAACCCTAGTCAAATTCTTTTGCACACCTCTTGCGTAAGTCGCCGGATGTCGCACCTTTTGCATCTAGGTTATGACTCGCCAGTGCGTCAGGATAATAGCACGTTCAGGCGACGACAAATTGACGACATTCAAGATCAGGAGACGACAACCTGACTGGATCAAGAAATTGGATATGCTGGATCCGTAGGCCTAAGGAGTTTAGGGTTTGGGGCTTGTGAGGATTTGATTGTGTGTCTGACCCGGGCATATGCCACAATTTTTTCAACGCCGCAAAGCACCCAAAAGCTACCAGTGTCGCACCTCGAAAAGCGTGTTCCAGGCTTGGGCAACATGACTTCGCATCGTTCTTGATTTCTGATGGTTGTGGAGGTCTTCGGGGAGCTCGGTTTGTTGCCACGGGTATGGGAGGACATCACGCGCTGAGTAGATAGGCTCGCTTCCTACCACAACCTCCATGTGCTTCAAGCTGTCAGCGTCATAGACCCCACGCAATAGCCATCTTCCAATCGCTGTGGCCTGCATGTTACGCCCACGTATAACGCTGCGAAGCCCCTGCGGACAGCCTGAGCCGCAAGAACGTCCGAAAAGGGGTGAGTTGGCTCGCAAGCGACAGCTTTTGAGTTCACAGCTTAAGCAGGAATCGGGCTCGAAGCAGAGCTTAAACTCTGCCAAGAGAGCCACGACGTAAAGCCCTAAACCTGAGCTTTGCTCCCTCTTTCGCTCGCAGCGCTGCACGGAGGCCTTCTCGCTCTCTCATACGATTCGGCTGGAGTTTTTGAATTCGGTGGCTGCGCGCTCAGAGAAGATGTGCACGTGTGCACCGATGCACGCGACATTAGTCTCTGTATCTACCTATCCCTCCACTTCTTTACATACTTATCTATCTATCTGTTTGTCTATCTATGCTATCTATCTATCGACATGCGAGAGTCGTGGATGTCGGCTGCTTGGGGGGCGGAGGACTGCTGCATTTCTTGGGCCATGAAATGAGAACCCCAAACCCTAAGCCCCGACCCCTAAACCCCTAAACCCCTGAACCCATAAACCCCGAAACCCTAAACCCGTAGACCCCTAAACCCTTCAACTCTATCCCCCTCAACCCTCCTAACCCCTAAACCCCTAAACCCTGAACCCCTAAACCCCCAAAGCCGTAGACCCCAAACCTCGGGGGCATGGAGCGGCCCTGACTCAAGCAGCTCGGCTTCCCGCGCAAGGTGCTGCAGAACACGGGTGTGGTCTCTGCGCTGATCCAGGCTGAGCTGGAGACTGGGGTTTAGGGTTTAGGGTGTAGGGTACAAAACTCTCCCCTTCTCTTTGTCGTGGTTGGGTGACTTTTTATATGTTTATGGGTACTTGAAACCAATAAGGAACAAGAATGTAAAAATACATCCTACCCCAACCATGAACTAGTTCTACACGGATGGTGCCGTGTCTCCGGTCGTGTTCGCTTGAGGATCCAAAACTTTGGAAGGCCCTCTTCTGGACATAGGGCACATGCACATGCGCCGCTATGCCTCTCTCGCTCTCTCGCTCTCTCTCTCTCTCTCTATCTCTCTGTCTCGCTCTCTCTCTCTCTCTCGTTCATTCGTTCGTTGGTGCCCTCGTCCCAGAAGCTTACGGGGTGGCCTACATGGTGCCTTGAGTATGCCACGTGCAGGTCTTCCATATGCTCCAGCTGCCCGACGACCTGTCTCCTGCATGTTTGGGAAGGTCCCAGAGAGCCCAATACCCCTTAATTAAGGAATATAGCTTAAATCTTGATTTATAATTTCAGGTATATTCCTTAACTAAGGGGGATTTGGGCTCTCTGGGTTTTTTCGGTTTGGGCTGCGGGTTTCAGGATGTTTGTATTCGGGTCAGGTTGAGAGCCTCCCCGCGACGTTGTTCAGAGAAGTCCGTTACAGCGGTCTTGGGTTCAATTTTACTGTATTACTATTATATCATGTTACAATTTTTGTGTTTTCCATAATATCATAGTGTATACTATGTTACATCATTCTGTCTAATAGTCTTATCCTGCATAAACGTATCTTATCTCACCTTTCCTATCTTACATGGCTTTTTCAGCGTCTTCTCGGCCAGGCAGAAGATCAATCGCCTGGTGCATGGCGTCGCGAGGATATGGTGGAGGCATCAGGGCTTCAACCCTTCAGGGCTTAGCCGAACCCTAGACCCTAAAGCAAGGCGACAGAAAGACGGCCATTCGCACTTTAAAGCAGAAGCCCTTCCAGGGTTTAGGGTTTGGGTTGATTTTGCAGGCTTCGGCTGCCGAACTGACTGAGCATGATCTCGCTGAGGTTTGAGTGGACGTTGTTGTGGTTCGGGCATGAATGCTTTGGTAAGGGGATCCGAAGTGCAGGAAGCACAGTAAATACCAATGTTTTCGACAGCGCATGCGGAGGAAATACCGCAGAGATCCCTTTTGGTTTCGGCACGTATTTGAAGGCACCAGGAACAGCAACGGCACGGCCACACATGTGGCACTTGGAGCAGAGGAAACACCGTGCACAGGGACGAAATCAGCATGTCGGTTTTGTGCCAGGGGATCGATTCTGGAACAACCCCCTAATCCTAGTTTAATTTTGGTAAGGCGCCTACCATTTACTAATGCTCCTTCTCGTGTAGGGTTTCCCATGATGAGTGCAGGGTAATCTGCCCAAAAACCCTAGTCTACTTGTGAAGGCCTTGATAGTTCCCTTTCTTTCTGCACTGACGAGGCAACACGAGCGCATGCAGCGTGAAAGCTCTGGCGTGGCAACCTCATGGGGATTAAGAGACTGGGCCACTCTCTTTGCCAGCATAACATAACATCCCAACGTTGGTCGCTGCAGAAGGCGCAGATGAAAGTCAAGGTGTTTTTGAGCTCAGCCATTGTTTTGACACTCCCGCTAGCCGTTGGCAGGAACTAAGAGACTTACTTCTTTAAAAACAGAAATCAGCGAAGGCCCACTTTTCCGTTTAAGAATCGAAAGCGAGCTCCCTTATATCGTTGCAGCACATAGGACAGCCTAGTTGTTTCCGAAGAGGCACAGGATTGCTCCTCAACTTTTCAACTCAGGGACAGGCGACATTCGAAGGAAGCTGCTGGTACAAGTGGCAGAAGGTATCCTTTCTGCATACTTGGAGGATCATGGGACTTAGTAACTAGGGTTATAACTAAGGTAACTATACTATACTTATAACTCTAATTAGGGAAAATAACCTTACTTCCTAAGTCCCATGATCCTCCAAGTAAGGTTTGGGCCTATCTATGACACGTGACTCAAGGAGCGTTTTCGTTTCTGAGTCAATCATGTAGGGCTGCTCATCCCCTGCTAGTACGTGTTGACTTGCTGTCTGCAAGTGGTGTACCAGATGTGGTGCATACATTGCAGGGTGCGTGCGTTATGTCTATCTCTCACATACCGGAGTTGCACAAGAAACAGTTGAAGGCCAACAGGAGAACACGGATGACATCAGCCGAATACATCATGCAGAAGCTAAACAGCCGTCCCCATGAGGCCGTGGCGCCCCGAAAGCCACCCGCCATGGAGAATGGCGCCCTTCAGCTCAGTCTCTCCCAGGCTCCTTTAGGGCTGAGTTTAGGGTTTTGACTTTAGGTTTAGAGCTCAGGCCTGGGAGGCCTTCGCTTTCGGGAAACCGAAGGACGTCGTAGCAGTGGCAAAAGAAGTTGTATCAGAGGTAGCAGCAGCACCTGCAGGAGTAGTGGAAGACTAGGGAGACGCGAGGCAACAGGAGCGTCGTAGCGGTGGTGGTGGTGGTGGTGGTGGTGGTGGTGGTGGTCGTGGTAGCAGTAGCAGTAGCAGCAGAAGCATTGTAGAAAGGAAACTCTTGGCTAGAAAGCTGGCAGCTAGCAGCTAGCATTTAGCAGTTTGTAGTTTTTAAGCTAGTTTAGGGCAATTAGTACTTGGTGGTGCGGAGGTAACAGAGTGGCCAGCAGCTCGCAGTTGGCTGCAAGTAGAGCGTACGTTGTAGTATATTCTAGTATATCATATTGTAGTACAATATAGTACAATATAGCATAGTATAGTATATCTCTGACCTGTGCAGGAGCTGAATGGCCTGGAGCTGAAACAATACCTCTCCGGCTCGGATGTCTTGCACCAGGTGAGCCCGGTTCAGGGTGTAGGGTTTAGGCTTTAGGTTCGCTGCTTTGAGACTACTTGGAGGTTCAATCGCTCGGAGCTCCCGGTGAGCCCCAGTTCCAAAACTCCAAAAGGAGCGAGTCAGAGGCACGAAATGACAGGCCTCAAGAGACACTGAAGTTTCAAACCCGCGAAAGCACTTACACCCCAACACCTCAGCTCAAAACCCTAAGCACAGAGATCCTTGAGCCCAAGACGCAAGACGCTAAACCCTCTTCCCGCCCGAACTAGGCCTCCAAGCGCAAGCACGGACCCAGAGAGCCCAATGCCCCTTAATTATGGAATATACTGGTAGCTTAGATAATAAGGGGATTCATATTATGATTTAAGCTATATTCCTTAATTAAGGGGTATTGGGCTGTCTGGAAAAAAGTGCTTCAAAAATCAAGAAAGCGCCTTTGGTGGCTTCCCCCCGGCTCGCAGCTCATGTTCTCCACCGTCATGCTCCATTGGTACCTCTACAGGGACGGCCCCAGTGGGCAGAAGAAGGCCGGGCAGTGACTCTGAGCCCTTCTTTCGTAAGGAAGCCTCCGCTCCGTGCCTGGTTTTATCTGGATTGTAGTCCGAGGTTCTCATGTCCGAGAGTTGCATGAGACCAGTGGATGCCGGGGTGGTGTTTTAGCTCCCTTGCAGCGTTGTCCTTATTCTTGGGAGTCCAGGAACAGTGCCTTTGGATCCACAGGACATGGACTTTGACACGTGGCAGCGGCAAAACCGCGGCATTGAGACCAACGGCACGAACGTGCCGGACCACGTGCAGCAGCAGGTCTATGCATTGGTGAACAAGGCCGGGAGAGCTCTTCACGCAGCGCGACCCTACAGTATAGGTCCATTATGGTACCTTTCACAGTTTTCTAGTAACCCTTAATTATAGGAATCCTTGTAGAAACCCACCAGTAATCCGAAAACGCGATTCCTAGAGCCTGCAGCCCCAAAGCGCTAGAACCTAGAGCCGTAAGCCTACAAAACCTAAGCCTTAATCCCTGGTCCCTGAACAGTGAACCCTGGAACCCTCAAGACACCATAAAATTGAGCTCGCGTTTTACAACGTCCGTGGATTTCTGGTGGCTGCTGAACCCTAAACCCTAAAGCCCTTCAAGCCCTGCAGCCTTTCACGGAACCCTCAAAAGAAGGGAACCCTTCATAAGAGGAGCCCTTTGTGAAGGAAGCCTTTCAAGGATCCCTTTAAGGAACCCAAGACTCTCAACCCTAAACCTTAAGCCCTAAACCCTCAACCCTCAACCCTAAACCCTAAACCCTAAACCCTCAACCCTAAGCCTTAAGAGCCATCCAGGCTTTTATCCCGGAGCTGGCCGTCGCCTCGGCGCAAAAGAAGCCGGAGGGGCAGGGGCCCTGAGCCTGAGCTGTTTCCAGGGGTTTACGGGTTAGGGTTTAGGGTTTAGGGTTTAGGGGTTATGGGTGTAGGATTTAGGGGTTAGGGTTTAGGGGTTAGGGTTTTTTGTGGGGTTTTGGGGCTCCTGTAAAGGTGTTCTTTAGGTGTAGGGTCTAGGGTCTAGGGTTGAGGGTTTGGGGTTTAGGGTTTAGGGTTCTTTGAAGGGTAAGTAAAGGTAGCCAGGGCTATAAACTTGGTAACGATGCTTATTCCTGTAATTATGTATACCCCCCACTTAACCCCAACCAAGGTATCTGTAACTGTATTTTCTAAGTCCTATGAACCTTTGAAGCCGGGTGTGGGAGCTCCTGTAAAGGGAGCTCTAAGGGTTCTTCAGTGTTTCTGCGGTTTTAGGGTTTTGCGGGTTCCTTTAAAGGGGTTCTTTGAAGAATCTTTCACGGTCCTAGAAGGGTTGAGGTATGAGGGGCTTCAGGGCTTCCGAGATCGACACGAATGCAGACTGGTGAGGGTGATAGTTGGTGGCTGCCGAGTGACCTGCCCGATCGGGTACTCCAGCCTGCAGTCTTACACCCAATGCATTGTCTGTGTGTCAGTAGGGCAGGCTTCTCATAGGGGTCTGAACAAATACTAGCTGTATCCCTTTGTAGTCCCCATGTAGCTATCCTAAAGAACTCTCCGAATCCTTGCTCTAAGCACTCAATACCGTGCATCTCAGTCTTGAGTTCGATTCAGCTGCATCCGCAAAGCCCAACAACCCATAAACCTTTTGGTGCCAGGGGGCCAGACGAGGGAGGTGGCCCTGGAGAAGTTGCACCCGAAAGGTCCGAGGAACCGAGTCAGTTCGGGTTCAGAGGTGAACATAGGAAAACCACTTGGAGGATCATTGTCATGGGGACTTAGTAACTAGGGTTATAAACAAGGTAACTATACTTACCAATCCAATTAGGGACTTATAACCTTACTTAACTAAGTCCCATGATCCTCCAAGTAGCTGAACCCGAAGCCCTCAACTGTTGGTGGGGGCGACACTGAGCTAGTGGGTTTGAGGGCGACTTTAAGATCTCAGGGTGTGTTGTTTCAGGTGTCAGGTCGCGCATGGGCAGCCCACTGGCCCCGAGATGCTGCATGTATGTACCCATGTGCATGCGTGTATGCGTGTGCACATGAGTGCTTTTGCATGTGCATGCATGCTTGCTTCCGGACCTGCACCTGCCCGCTTGCTTGCTTGTTTGGTTCGTTAGTTAGTTAGCTAGTTATTTAGTTGGCTGGTTGGGTAGTTCGTCTTTTTGTTCGTTGGGTAGGTCGTAAGATGTTAAGTTACTTGCTTCCTTACTTACTTATTTAGACGGTTTGACCAAATAGCTATCTGGTTGTTTGGTCAGGCACGCAATGAACCATGATGACCATTGACTGATTAGTTCATGATGTAAGCACACAAAACCTTCCCTGCGAGAAGTGCCGGTGAAGAGGCCAACGGCGCCATTGCTTGCCCCCTTTGCAGCTGCAGAAGGCGGGCCGCGAATTTCTAAGGGCAAGCGCACAGCAGTGCTTCTTCTCGCATGAATTGCAGCAACTTTGCTATTGACCCAGACTGTTTAGCATGATGCCACCGGGTTAGGAGTTAGGAGGAAGCATCTACAAACCACGGCCCTTGCGAAGCGGACAGACATCTGCAGGCTTCCAGGGCAGTATGTATCTTTTGGTTTCGGGGGTTCGAGCTTTTCCCTCAAACCCTAAACTTAAACCCTCAACCAAAAGCCCCAAACCCTAAAGGCCCTAACTGCTTCTTCTGTTGTCAGAAGTGGCTTCATAGTGTGTATGCCAGATACTGTACACTTAAAAAGCCCTAAACCCTAAACCCTAAGCCCTAAAAGGCCCTAAACCCTAAAGGCCCTATAAGCCCTTCTGCATGCAAGCAGCCCGCCAGGGTGGGCTCAGATCGTCGGAGGCGGCTTCCCGAAGCCCAGTGGTTTCCGGCTCAGGGAGCTGTTGCAACGGATATCCCGAAGCCAAACCCCCAAAAGGATTTAGGGTTTAGGGTTTAGGGTCCGAACCCTAAACCCCAAACACTAAACCCCAAATCGATATCTTCCACTTCAAGCTGCGCAGTCAGCTTCCCTTGATGCCTCGAAACCCCAAATCCTAAACCCTAAACCCAAAGCACGAAGCCCTACCCTAAACCCTAAACCCTAAACCCTAAACCCTAAGCCCTAAAGTCAGCTTCCCTTGATGCTTCGGCGGTTCGTCTCTTCTCTCGCAGAGTTTGGCTGCAGAGGTTTCGGTTGCCTCTCCGTCTCTCGGTCCGGCTCTGCGTGGCAGATAACAATATAAAGCATGATATAGCATAATAAGTACAATAGCACAATGCAGCATAATATAGTATAACTTATAATACTCATTGGGTTTCGCTATCTAGGCGGAAGTATTGCATAAGTGCACCTCTGTCCATATTGGCTTCTGCCAGCTTTTTCGGCAATGACAGTCTGGGTGCTGGATGGGCTTGGGAACGCCCTGCTGAGGTGCGGCGGGCGTGCAAACAGTCACGTACTCGCCACTTGGCCGCGAGGCAAGAGCACTGCACTGGAGGGCCTCAGTATACGGGTTCAAATAATTACCAAGAACATTTTGGGGCTTCCTTAATACAATTATGGTAGAATGGGTCCCCAAACCCTACTGTAACTATTAAGGCCCTCATATTACCCGAACCCTGAACCGTCTTAAGCTCCCTTGAGCCCCGAAGCATGCCACCCCTGCACCCTCCTCTCGCTTCCCGGAACACCTGAAAAGCGTTGCGTTGGCTCAGCGCCTCGAACGGACTAGACAGGCAGCGACGGCGATGGGAACCGTAGTGTAGGGGCCAAAATAATTAGGATAGGGTTTAGGGATATATACATATATATATATATATATATATATAATTTCACGGTAGTTATAATAAGGAACCCCCAAAACCTTCTTCTAATTACTCAGGCCCCTACAGCAGTTTGCTGCCGGGGTCGTGAAACCCACAAAGCAACCCACTGGACTTTGCAACTGGCTGGCAACTTTCTGAGGCACGTTTCCAGCATCTTCAGCGAGGTGACTCAAGGCACCTCAGGCTGGGTCGCTGGGGTTGGGCCCATCTTCCAAGAGCCTGAAAATACCCCTTAATTAAGGAATATACTTTAAATCGTATTCGGATCCTATTATGATTTAAGGGCTATTGTTCAAGGAAAGGGTTTTGGAGGCTCTGGGTTCCTGTCTTTCTGTCTTTGAGTTGGCATCTGATCCTTCTCTCTCGTTGAAGCAGTCCGTTCTTAATCCTCTAATAGAGCCTGACCTAACGCAAGTGTGCATCCTCCCTCGCGGCTAGATGGAGTCTTCGGAGGCGGAGTTGAGACGAAGAGTCCAAACACTGTTGCAGCCCTGAGCTCCCTCTTTGTGTTATATGGTCGTATATCATAAGATATTGACTGTATTATGATACATTACAGAACATCATACTGTGTTCTATTACATTCTATGATCTTGCAGCCCTGAAAGCTCCTCCATCCAGGCCTGGTGCGCAGCCCCCTGGCTGCCAGCACCACCGACGTGAGCAAGCGCACACCTACGGGAGTCGAGGCGCGCCCCGCGGAAGGGCTCCGAAGGCTCAGCTTAGGCGGCTCTCTTCAAAAGGCGCCAAGAAAGTTGGCAACTGCAGTATGGATCCGAGCTACGGATTCTCTTTGAAGTAATGGCGACTGTAGTTGGCAACCCAAAGATCAAAGAGCAGCAGTCATAGGAGGCCAAAAGCGGTTTTAGTCTATGGGGGTTGAGCAGGCATTAGGGTTCCGATAACAGGGTTCATATTAAGGAATCCCGACCCCAAGGATCTTAAACCCACCCTTTTGGCCTCCTATCAAGCAGCTTTTGCCATGCAGGCGGTGCCTGGCACGAGGATGGTCAAGCGCGACGACTTCGCCTGGCTGTCTGTCGTCTACACGCCCCGCTCTCAGAAGCAGGAGTCGCTTCGGTCTCCCGTTTACTATAAGGGCCTGTAGAAAATTACCTATACTATTTTCGGGTTTCCTTGTTATAATTGTAGTACACTATTTTGGGGGCTCCTTCTTATAATTGTAGTATACTATTTTGGGGTTTCCTTCTTATAATTATACTATTCTGAGGTTCAGAGGAACTCACCTTCTGTTGTTGTTGTTGCCCTCTCTTCGATCCCTCCTTTCTGCGCATGAACACGTGTATCTCAGCTCAGCCTTTGCATTCTGCGCCCAACTCTTCAAGGCAAGTATAGGGGCTTCAACAATTTAGGAATCCTTCTTGTAGCCGGACTATAACGCACCCCCCAATCCGCTGCTACAATCGCCTAAACCCGCAACCATCCATAAAATCCTCATAGAACCCGAAAAAAAAGAAACCCTGGGAATCCTCAAATTCGAGACTTCCCCGGCAGTAGATCCGAAAAGGCCAAGCCGACATGCCTTCACTCCCCGGGACTGAACACACACACACACACAACACCCGCCATAATACGGTGGTCTAACTAATCCTGAACCCTGAACCTAAAGAACGTCCTCACTTTATACCCTTCTAGTCCGCATTGTGCAGGCTTCCATTGGGTTTTTCAGAAGGGTTGTCCCTACATTGCTATACCAAAATGCACCCTGAAACCCTTGTCTAATTCTCCAAAGGCCCCCTTTACGAACTCGTTGTCGAAGCCTCTTGAAACCTGTTTGGAGGTCTTGGGCGTACCCTCCCCTCAGCTCTAAACGCGAGATCCCAGAGACTTAAGCCCTACTTGGAGGTTCATGGGACTTAGTAGCTAGGGCTAGGTTTATACATAAAGGTAACTATACTTGTAGTTGCTCATAACCCGTGTTAAGGTACTTATAGCTATACTTACTAAGCTAAGCCCCACGAACCTCCAAGTACACCCTAAACCCCACCGAAATAACCGTATCCAGGCTCCTCTTTTTCGCTGCCCACCCTCAAACCGGAGCCCCGTGCCCTTGGGGCAACGGGCACCGAAAGGGCACGGTAATCGGCCGTTTTGGGGTTTACGGCGTAGCACGCAGGGTTCATGAGCAGACGGACTTTTGTGCAGTGGCCCGTGCACAGAGCCGTGCTTTTTTCGAGCAGGTATCATCGAGGTTTGACTTTTATTGAATTCTAGTACATTGCAGTAGTATACTATACGATGTTTGTATTGCATCATGTTGAAAGTATAGTACAGTATCGTTATACTATGCTGAATCACACCAACTCAGTATATATATATATATATAGATACACATACATACACATGTGTATTACAGTGTAGTATACCCAGAAGTGCACTTTTGCACCTTGTCTTTCGGGATCTGCCTGCTAAGCCGCAGTAGGAGGAAGGGTACAGATGTGATTCATGGGTTGCCGGGAGTCCATCAGGTACGAATGAGCACTACTTGGAGGATCATGGGACTTAGTAACTAGGGTTATGAACAAGGTAACTATACTTATGTCTCCAATTAGGGTACTTATAAGCTTACTTACTAAGTTCCATGATCCTCCAAGTAAACCCACATCAAACATAGTACAATTCCGTTTCAATCCCTACAAGGGGATCTTGAACCCTGACCGGATCCTTAAAGGAGCCCTTCTGGATCCCTTACATGAACCCTTAAAGATCCCTTAAGCGAGCCCTTAAAACAGCCCTTCTGGATCCCTTAAAGGAGCCCCGGAATATCCCTTACAGGATCCCTAAACCCTGAAAGGATCCCTTGAGGGGATAGTGTTAAGCTCTTCCGGGACGCGTGGGCCTCGTATAAGCGCAGGTACGCCTTCATCGAGCTGCGGAAAGTCAGCATCTCGCAGATGGACGAAGGCTGCTTGGGCTGCTGGGGCTTACTTGGAGGGTCATGGGACTTAGTAGCTAGGGTTATAAATTTGGCAACTATACTTATAACTCCAACTAGGGTACTTATAACCTTACTTACTGAATCCCATGATCCTCCAAGTATGCTTCTGGATTTGGATTTAGGATTGAGGGTGCGGGGTTTAGGGTTTGGGGTTCAGGATTTGGGGTTTAGGGTACATGCCATGCCATTAGGACTCCTTAACCCACACATTCCGCAGTGCCCATCGAGCCAGAAGAGTTGAGTCCACAACTTTATGGCGAGCATTCCACGCCCTGAAGGTCTCCGACAGAGACTCCAGACAGGAAGGTTCGAACCTCCTTTGAGGTTATATAGATTACTGTTTTAGTGTAGTACAGCATAGTGTAGTATAATGTAGCATAGCATAGTACATTTTTATTTTACTAGGCAGCTAACAAGTACGTAATCTGTGCCGACGGCAGGTCATGCCGCGTGAGAGGAGTGTAAGCTTCTCGCGCCACGGATTCTTGCTCAACATTGCAGAAGCAGCGTTGTTCCTCAGAGTCTAGGCTAACTACACCGCACACCAATAATAAATGAGCTCTTGGCAGCCGTAACAAATGTTGACATTTCCCCACAGTCTCCACTGCAAGCTCTTCTGCACACTCTCAGGGAGGATGCTTTGGACCCTGAACCCTAAACCCTAAAACCCTAAACCTCTAAACCCCTGAAGCCCTAAACCCCTAAACCCCTAAACCCCTAAACCCTAAACCCACTCATGAAAGTCTCGACCAGGCAATCAGGAGCTCACGCTGGTGGGCGTCGCAGACCCCGAGGACCCGGATGCAGGCCTGGGCCAGTTCGGATCACCAGGGCTCTCTCCTCTATCACCATCGACTATCATGACTACCCTGTTACAGAGGTATAAACAGATATAAGAAGATATATCCCTCAACATTGTTACTCCCAGCGACGCAGGGCTATCATCATGACTACCTTGTTACAGAGGTATCTACATGTATGAGAACACTTTTTAGGTCTAGAGCACACCTATATATGTCTGTATACATACATACATACATACATACATATACATATACATATACATATACATATACATATACATACATATACATATACATATATACATATATATATATATACATATTTATGTATGCACATGGATGCACCGACATATATCTATCTATCTATTTATCTATCTATATATGTATATAGACATGTACACTGTGCACAACGTACACACATACCTATCCATATGTATATATATATATATACACATATTTACATAGGTACATATGTATAAACACATATTCATACTGATAACTGTTTTTTCACTCGTACGTGTGAATAAGCCAGTTATCAATAGATTATCTTGTTTTGCTCGTCCAGCTGCAGACTTCGTCGCTGGCGGTGCGGCGCCTTCCCGGCGCAGCCGACCCGGGGAGCCTGGAAGCGGGTGTGGGCCTTAGGGATTAGTTCCTATAAGGTTCCGTTTAACGGATCTATAAGGGATCTACAACGGGTTTAGGGATTCAGCGCTTAGAGTTTGGGGGCTCGGGTTTAGGGTTGAGTTGTTTAGGGGTTTAGGGACAAGGTTTCAGGGTGGAGGGATTCGGGTTTAGGGAGTAGGTTTAGGGCTTTGGGATTAGGGCCGTTTAGGGCTTAAGTGGGCCTTACCGCGAGCAGGGCAGAAGGGTTTGGTTTCCCGTAGTATTGTTAGTTTCTTCTCGTTCTTCTTCTTCTTCTTTAAAACATTGTTCTGTTGTCTACCAATATGCGCATGGCCATCATTCTGATTCTTCTTATCTTCATTACGAAAAGTTACAACTGGTATTGAATACAAATTTGTGTTACCATCATTCGTTGTTTCATTTTTTTACTACTATTGCTTTTACATGGAGTCTGATGAAGCAACCCCTGAATCTTCTGTAGGGTTTTGCCAGTCTGGGTCCTTCAACTCACGGCCGCCATAGAAGCTAAACCCTAAACTTTGAGGGTCTTTGGCAGAGCTGAGTGGTCTTGTGAAGAGATACCCAAAAGGCGTATTTTCACGCCTCACCCTGGGCCCTGAACCCCGTAAAGCCCCAAACCCCCACTTCCGGACGTACAATTGTAATCAGGAACCCCCAACATAGTGTTGGTATTTAAGCAGGCCCTTGTATTAGGTGGACATGGGTAGTCCTTCACATCAGGGTTTTTGGTGGGTTGCCAACGGACGAAGGTCGGCACCGGTCGGCATCGTCCTCCTTCTTCCGGATGGCCGCTGGCAGGCGAGGTGATCAGACTGGGGTAACGGAGGGTTCAATATCGGGGCCTTGATAATTCTTTACCTACATTATTCTGGGGGGTTCCTTATGATAGTTCTAGTCTAATGGGCCGAAACCACTATTTTAATCATTAAGCCCCCTATATCACCTTCTTGGTTAGTGCGTTTCTTCCTTAATTCTTCTTATCGGTATGTGGGAGTTTCCGAGAATTCGGGATACTTCTCTTTTTTTATATTGAATTCTGGGGTCCTTACAATAAGGATCCTACTGTTTATGGAAGGGTCCCCTATCTTCGGAAGCTCCCGTGTGTGTCTTGTAGGAAGAGTATGTGAGGCTGTCTGGTGAAGTATGGCATCCAGAATCTAGAAGGCTTTCCACACCCGTGAAAGGTCGATGTGAAGCGTCTGTAGTGGCGGTTCAGGGTTTAGGGGTTTAGGAGCCCTCGAGGTTTCAGGGCTTATTGTTTATGGGTTTAGGGTTTAAGGGTTTTTGTCATCTTGACTCAGTGGCCGGTGAGGTAGCCTTTCAAGCGCATTCGCGCTTGTACTCGTGATTCCTAGCAACAGGGGTAGAAGCCTTTCACAAAAAAAACCCAGCCCTAAGCCTGAGACTCAAACCCGCAACTACCTTCCTTTGTACTGTTGAACACCGAACTTCCCCATACCCTACCCTACCCCACCCTACCCACCCTACCCTACCCTAGCCTACCCTATCCGTCACTCCAGGAGATGAGCATGCCCAAGCTTGATCTCCGCTTCCCCTCGGCTGAGAGCCTGAAGATGCCTTCTGCCCGCATAGAAGGAGTCATCGGGCTTCAGGTCCCCCCGTGATTGCTAGGGATGGCTGCTGGTGCTGCTAGTGCTAGTACCGTTTCTACTACTACTGCTACTGCTACTACTGCTACGACTTCAGTCGGAAGCTTCGCATCATTTCAATCCCGTGCTGTCCAAAGCCGCTCTCTCAATTCTAAGCCGACGGCCTCAAATCCAGAGCCCCTCCTCCCGGCCTCCTGCACCAAACTCAGGTGGTCCAATCAGATCATGGCTGGAAGCCAAGGCCACAAATTTCCAGTGGGTTCGGGGCCTCGGGCAACACTTCGCGGGGTGAAGCCAAAGCTGCGTGAGAGGATTCAATACTCGGAGCGAGCCTTCCGAAACGTAGCAAAATCCGATGCGTGGAGGCTTTGGTTTAAAACTTGGTTGCCATGCAGAGGTGTGTTCAGCAATTGGGCTCGTCCGGGCGCGGAAATCCAGGTAGGTTCTCGGACGATGCCGTGTTGAAGTGGGTGGACTTGTCGCATCGCCTCCTCTGGGCAGTATAGCAGCCACAGTGACTTGAGTTGGTGTTGAGGTTACAAGTTTAACCAGGAGCCCAAAGGAATGCTGCCGGTAACTCTGCACGGGATTTCCGGCTTGCAGGACGCACAAGCCGACCTTCTACCGGATCGGTCTCCGCGCTGCATCGAATACAGGCCGGAAGCTGAGGATGTAAAGAAAAGGGGCCTGAATGATAAGACTACAAGTTTTGGGGTCTGTTCTAGTAGAAGGGTATTTCTTTCAAGGTTCTGCAAGGGTGATTAGAAGAGATGCCAAAAGGGTTTGATAGCGATGCTGAATAGTTGCTGATGTTTCTCCTCAGGGTTCCTGTTTTTAGACTTATCGCAGTACCCCAAACTCCTTTTCGATCTTTAATGGTACCCTGTATTACTTTCTCTCTCTCTATCTCTCTTGCTCCCTCTCTCTCTCTCTCTCTCCCTCTCCCTCTCGCTCTCGCTCTTTCTCTCTCTCTCTCTCTCCCTCTCTCTCTCTTTCTCTCTCTCTCTTTATCTCTCTCTCTCTCTCTCTCTCTCTCCTGCTTTGTCCAGGAGGAGATGTGTAGGGAGCGAGGGTGAGGCAAGGCGGTTGTCTTTCACGTTGTGGGTGCCCGAGAGCAATCAGAGGTGGCTTATGCAGTGCCAAACTAGTCCCAGAGCCTCCAAAACCCCGTAATTAAGGAGTATACCTAAGATCATAATAGGATTCCTAAGATGAGATGATTTAAGGTATATTCCCAAATTAAGGGAATTTGGAGGCTCTGCGGTCTTCTTTCTGGGCGGACTCTGCACGTATTGCCGAAAGCTGCAGAGGGCAAAACCGATCCTCTCGATGTTTCCGCGATATCTCTACCCTCAATGAAAACATCGCAGGGAGTGGCGAAACTTGACCACCCAGCCCGCTACGTCCTTGATTGTAGACAGGGCCACCGAACCGGCCAAGCTTTCCCAAAGTTGCATGCAATGCCCCCCAGAGCCTCCAAAACCCCTGAATCAATGAATAAACCTTAAACCATAATAGGATCCCCTAATATGGTTCAAGGTATATTTCCTCAATTCTCTTGCAGAACCCGTATAGATCCCTATAAGGAAACCTTTTAGGGGTATATTCCTTCCTTAAAAGGCTTTTGGAGTTTTTGGGCCACTGAGACTGACTACTATTATGATTACGATTATCTTGATTAGTATTATTGCTATTGTTATTATTATTATTATTATTATTATCACTATTTACTATCATTACTAGTATTGCTATTATTATGTTTTCTTTTATTGCTAGTATTACGAGTCTTACTATTTATGATGCATGCTATGGCCCCCTTGAGGCTACGTGACAATGCTTCATTTCGGCGGACGGAGCCGGCCTGCAGGTCTCCCGGAGATGTTTTGCATCCCAGAGCCTCCAAAACCCCATTGCTTGAGGAATAGACGGTTAAATCATGTTTGCAGAGGATCCTAGTAGATTTTAAGGAAAGCCCTTAATTAAGGAATATACCTTAAATCATATTATGACAGGATCCTGTTATATTGTTAGGTGTATTCCTTAATTAAGGGGTTTTGGAGTCTCTGGGATCGCGAGTCGGCATATCCGGGTTGAGTGCTCTTGTTCTCTCAGGACCTCCAGCGCTGCCCCCATGGATCCAGTGAGGTTTTTGTTGCGATGTTAAGCGTTGGTGTATTTGCAATAGCAACACTAATGCTTACAATATTGAGATAATAACAAGTCACAATTATACCACCAAAAAAATAAATCAAAATCATAATAGTAGTAATAGTAATGCCAACAAGAAGAAGCTGCTAGAGCGAAGAGGAGGTTTGAGGCCGGTTGCTGGACTTAGAACGCTGTAGTAGCTCGTGGAAGTCGCTCGTCTCCGCATTCTGGGCTCTCTTTCCTGAACCCTGAACCCCGAAACCCCATACCCTAAACCCTAAAATCTAAGCCCTTTCTTTCACGTCTAGTAGCGCGGTTTTCTGCAACCTCAAGCTTTCCCATGAGTGTTTAATAGTGTTTAGCTTCAACTGCTGACTGTGTAGCTATTTTGCGGCAAATTGCGACCGGGCCAGCGGATTTTTTGCAAACGGTGCATAGACATGTACGGTTTCTATATGGCGATGTAAAGGGGTTCTGATTTTGTTCTGGCTCCGTCCTGACACCCCAAACGATGTAGAGGGAGCCCCCATCGCATCGCGAAACTTCCCTGGAGTCTTTGATTTCTTGAACCCCAAACACCAAACTCTAAAGTTAAAGACAGCCAAAGACTCTAGACCCAGACTCTAGACCCAAGAGCCCCAAGCCTCAGATTCGATATTATGGGGGCTTGAACATCAAGAGTATGGTTCCCTCATAGTCTCATATCGAAACGATCCAGCACACATATGCCATATAGAACCCAAACCCAATTCTACTTGTAGGGTCCCTACATTATTCTTCCTTGAGCCGAAGAACGTGGATTCCACGAGGCCGACCCCGAAATCAAGGCTCCCGGTTCGGCCCGGGCTAGAAGCCCAAAACAGCACCGCAACGCATGAGGGTTCCTATAAATGTTACCATAAGGGATTCGGGGTACTGAGCTATTCTGGGTACTATGGTAAGGGTTGCTAACAGAAATACAGCACCACAATGAAAAGGGTTCGCAAGAGCTTTATTTACCATAACGGAATCCTCAAGGGATACCGTAAGGGTTGCTATATGGGGATACTAGAAACGCCTAGTTTAGAGCTTAGGCCTTAGGGTTGAGGGTTTAATTAGGGCTTGGGAAACCCCACGGCATGTGATCAGACCTTGAGACATGCCGCAGTCGCCGAACTCCTCGGGGGGCCAGGAAGTCTCGATTTCGAGAGAGGCCCTCAAATCCGCGCCAAAGCTGCGAGACTCGTGTCAGATGCGCTGCTCTGCTACGTTCCCCGAGACGAGTCTTGTTTGTGGGTGGTTCTCCAAATAAGGGTCCACCAGAAGAGTACGGCACCTTTTTTTGGACCCTAAGAGGGACCTAGTTTAGAGAGCCACCCTTATAAACACTGAAAACCGACACCCGAGAGTCACATTTGGGACTGATCGAGGACATGAGGATTCAGGGTTTGACATGCTGTGTTTTTAGTCATCCGAGTTCAGGCGGCGTCCATGGAATTCCGCCAAGAGATCCAGTTTTGGCACAGAAGACAGTCCTTCCCCCCTAGGCGAATTTGAATGCTAATGCTATACATTTCTGCTCAAAGTGTCTTGCTTCTAGGAGTGGCCTGATCTCCAAGATGACAGGAAGATGAAACAGAGCATTCAGCGGATCCGTGACGCGAGAATTCATTTGCAAACTCCTCTGAAGCATGTTGAGCATGAGCCCGGGGTCTCGAGCAAGCATACTGATACGTGCAGTATCGTAGTTGGAGTCGTTGACGACTTGCTACAGGATAGTAGTAATTAGTAGTCGTCGTCGTAGTAGTAGTAGTAGCAGTAGCAGTAGCAGTAGCAGTAGAAGTAGTAGTAGTAGTAGTAGTAGTAGTAGTCGTCGTCGTCGTCGTCACCGTAGTAGAGTACGAGTAGGAGTAAGAGCAGCAGTAGGAGGGGCAAGAGCAGTGGCAGAAGCGGTATCAGTAGCAACAGCAGCAGAAGTAGTATATGAGGGCTGGAATGTTGGTGTAGCACGGGAGTTTCGGGTTCACAGCCCTTTTCTACAGATTTCAAGCTCTGGGTGCTACGGTTTTTAGTGCTTCCATCGGGTGTCCAGATCTCCCGTAGCTTTCTGTAAAGTTAACCTCTTTGATTGCAGGCGGATAATGCTTCTACGGGCCGTCAGCACGAATCCCCAGTCTGAAAGATATGAATAAGCCCTAAAGCCGCGAGACACCATTACGGGCTCGAGAGACTTAGTTGCTTCACCGGCAGCGTGCTGCCAGGTTTGAGAGCCAGCAGCATCGAGACGGCCAAATACAGCGGTAAGAGCAGTTTGGCTTCGGGTTTCTATCTCGAGCTTTGTTGTGACATCTAGTTTCGGCAACATGTCGTCGTGCTGCTTCTGGCCCTCACAAGTTGCCATCAAGCCAGTTTCACCGATGGGATCACAAAGAAAGGCCCGGAATCGCAAAGACGCACTTGGTCACGTCTCCTTGATCCATCGTAATTTTTTGTCGTTGACTTTCACATGAATGGTTTCGAATTCTTCTTCTCTATCGTGACGAGGTTCGATGAGGGGAGTGGGGGCAGGAAGTCACTCGAACGTGATTCTCGGGCCCATGTCACAGACCCTGAACCCTAAACCCTGAAACTGCACGCCTTAAGCCGCGATCCTGAACCTGAGCTGGAGTGGCGCACTCAGACCTCGATGGTGCTGTCAGCACCGCATTTGCTCCACCCCAGCCCACCCCACATGTGTATGTGTATGTGTATGCGTATGTCTATGTGTATGCGTGTGCACAAAAATATGTATGCACGCATGCATGCATGCATGCATGCATGCATGCACGCATAGATGCATTTTTGTATGTGTAAGCTTATGTAAGTGCATGTATACGAATATGAACATGTATATACACACACGGGCTGTTGGGTTTTACGATGTATAACGCAGGCGAACGCTTGTACGCGATGCGTGGGGTACACACTTTCTCAGGCACGACAGACAGAACAACTCCCAAAGCTGTCGTGGAGTTGCAGAGCTTAGATCTAAGCAGTGAGGCTTAGGGGTTGGAATTCTTAGCAATAGTCCCACATGTTTCTATTGCCTATACCAGAACACTTGTCGAAGTGTTGCGGACCCTGCATTAGGTTTAGAGTTCCTACTCGTTTGCTGGGAACCTCCGGGTGGAACTCAGGTCCGTCAAACCCCACCGGGCCACCTGTAGGTCATTCGAGTTCTCGACCAAAGGCGTTGAGGTTTGCGGATAGGTTCAGCGGGCATCAGCTCATGAATCGACCGCCGTCGCCGTGTTTCAGTGGAAGCTCAGAGGGCCAAAGCCGCCAAGTACATGCTGGCATGCCTCTTGGCAGGATTCATTGGCTCGAGTTCCGAGTTCAGGACCTGTGCCTCCGACCTTTGGGCAGAGCTTTTCGGGGGTTGCGGGATAAGACGTCAATCAAAAAGGGTGGTAGATGGCCAAAAGCGTCCCTCTGTTCCGTTTAGGGCTTCTTATATGAAGGTCCATGGAACCTTTAGGGGTTTTGGTTTCGGGTCTAGGCTTTCGGGTTTAGGGTCTATATCTTATAACTATAGTATACTAGACACCAAAACCCTATTCTAACTATTCACGCCCCCTATGTCATAGAACCCTGCTATCGATCCCTTTAAAGGAACCCCTTAAAGGGAGCCCTATCCAAATTAATAAAATTATTAAGGCCCCTGTTGCTCGGGGTTTCGAGGGGTTTCCATGCCCTGAGGCCCTCTCTTTGGCTCTTCAACTCCTGAGCCGTGGCCCCGGCAAGGTCAAGGCTGCCCTACCAGGTTTAGGGTTTTTGGGGTTTAGGTTTTAGGGTGTAGGGTTTGGGGTTCAGGGAGGGGGAGAAGGGCCGGATTTGTTGTCCTTGGCTTAGGGTTGAGGTATTTGGGGTTTAGTCGCCGATTTTGGAGGCTCTAATCGCTTTTTAGGTGTTCCAGAGGTAGGCGAGGGATCGGGTGAGCAGGATATTTACCAGGCTCTCTGGGTCTGCTTGTGCGACGGCATCAAAGGCCCCCCCGTGGCATGTTCCCAGGTGACATTGGACGATGGCGCCCCTGGAGGCTCCGCTGGTCCTGTGGTCTGTAGGCTAAAGAGATACATTTTCGGAGGACACATTGCGAAAGCCTCTATACCCCAAACCCCTATGGCTCCACCGTAGTGGTATTTCCGGCTGAGCGCCTGGAATCAATCTCTTCTCCAAGTCGCGGTAGCTCCATAGTCGAGGTCGACGTGCGTAGTTTGATCCCCGATCTATATATCTGTCTATATATATATACATATACACAGACGAGGTATCTACTCAACTCGCGTAGTGCTCAGAGCAACAAGCCCTACACCAAAGCACAAAGCCTAAACCCGGAGCCCGAATCCCTAAATAAGCATAAAGCTTCAGATCAGCTCGCGACATGGCCTGGGCAGGATCTGCAGTACGAAGCTACCCAATACTGTTCCCTTATAGCAACCCGTTTAGTAACACTGGAGTCAATCTTGCGCAGGATGCCCTACGCCCTAGACCTTATTCCCCAAAGCCTACACCCTCGTCCCTAGAACCCCAAGCCCTCTCTTTCATATTATATTCATGTACACACACACACACACATATATATATATATTCATACATCGATCTATAGATCTATATATCTATACACCTACATACCTATGTATCTATATGTCTATCTATCTATCTATATATATATATATATATACACATACATTCAAGCCCTAAAAATGAAACCTGGAGCAGGATCTGCAGTCGAGGGACCTGGCCTGGATCAGTGACTTCGTCATGCAGCAGGTGGCCAGGAGCCTCAATCGACCCGTTCGATAGTGGGGAAGGGGGGGGGTTGTAGCCCGGAATTTAGGGCTAAGGTCTCGGATTAAGGGTTGAGGGTTTAGGGTTCAGGGATGAGGGGCGGGGGGGGGGGTTGGGGGCAGCAGGTGGGCCGGGAGCCTCAATCGAAGAACTGGAGCCTCTGGAAGTTCGCTTTGGGGGCTCAGCGCTTTGGTTTTAGGGTTTTTTGGATTTAGGGTCTAGGATATGGGGTTGTGCAGGTTAGCCGGGCATTTCTGCATTAGACTGGGGTTCAGTAGGGCTTTGGGAGGGTTTAAGGGATTTGTTTCCCATCATTCGGTCTCCCTCTATCGGGGTCCCAGTGTTTGAGGTTTCAATTGAGGTTCCTTGTTTTTTTTGGAAACTCCCATTCCATCCTTTTCCTCGATCACTTCATGTGTACCTGCGGGCCTAAGGTGTTTTAGGGTTGTCGAGGGACTCGTCTGTAACCACCACCTCAGCCTCAGGTCCAACCTGCTTAGATGCTATGAGCGCTTCTATTTGTCCTTGCGTTTGAGTGTCAGGTCTGTCGCGCGGTGAACGGTTCCCATGTTTGAACACATGAATCACATGAAGTGGCGCTTGAAGACTCTGCCCTGCCTACGTGAGAGCCCCAGGTCCTCATGATGCGCCCCATGATGGATCACCTGCAACAGACGGATAGCTCTGTGGACTACGCACAGCGGCAGGTGCATGGAGACTTCGGGCTTGAGAGGGTTTTCAGGCTTTGAATCCGTTCTCTTCTGCTGCAGCATGTCCTATTATTGGGTTCAATAAATACAGCGGCCTTAATAATTCGAACAGGGTTTTGGAGCCCATTATACTATATTTGTACTAAGGCACCCCCCCAAAATAGTATGATTGGTAAGAGTTTGGCTCCTATGGTAGGGTGTTTCTAGAGCGAGCTCCTGCTCTCCCTCTGTGCATTTGCAGCAGCACCAACTCCTGCAGAAGCCGGGACAAAGGCTCGACTGACACTGCTGCGACCCGAAGCCTCATATATTCACCAGCCCTGAGCAGTGCGTAGTGTAAAACGGTTACTGTCGTCTGCGCTCCGCAGGTTCACCGTGTAAACATGGACTTGGCTGAGCTGAAAGCCGACGTGGACAGGACGAACAAGTGAGCCATCATCGACTGCTTTTCGCAGTATCGTAATCATGACCATCAGCATCACCATCACCATCATCATCATCATCACCATCACCATCATTACCATCGTCATAATCATCAGCATCATCATCATCATCATCATCCTTGCCGTTCTCGAAGAAGAGGGTCATCATGTGGCGTGACATTTTCGTAATGGCATCATGCTGCCAGTACAGTTCCCGCAAGGAGGTTACGATGACCTGAGGCATCGAGCATACATGTGACAATGGCAGTACCCGAACTTGTCCACCAAACCCTCGACCCTGACAATGCTCCCGGCGCAAGGTACCTCGCAATACTTCGGCAGGCTGGTCACAAAGGGCACAGACACGTTGCTACCGTGATTTTTCCGTTGCCCGTAATTTAGGAGCCTTAATGATTTGCAACACTATTTTGGGAGTTCCTTCTTATATTATAGTATGATGGGCCCCAAACCCTTATTCTAATGATTGAGGCCTCTGTATTACTGGCAGCCACAAGGAGCTCTACCCTTGTTTCTATGATAATTTTAAGCAGTAGCATTATGTCGACTTTAACATGGGTCATTATTTGCCGCTGTTACCATTGGTTCCTGCTGGCATCGTTAATCTGTCAGTGCAGTCAGCACTTGCGCGCAGCAGCAGAACTTGAGGAGGCAGCTGGTATGGTTGGGCTCAAGGTTTGGCGTTTAGGTCTACTTGGAGGATCATGTGACTTAGTAAGTAAGATTACAAGTGCCCTAATTGGAGTTACAAGTATAGTTACCTTATTTATAACCCTAGTTACTAAGTCCCATGATCCTCCAAGTAGGATTTTAGTTAGGACTGGAGGTTTCGGAGTAGAGCTCTCTTGGATACGAGTATCTTCCCTGTATCTCCTCAGAGAGCTCAAGGATTTAGGTTTCAGATTTTTCTGTGTGACAGAAACCCTGGTGGCAGTAGAAGCAGTAGTAAAGACGAGTGCAGCCCTAGCAAGAGACATGTCGTAGCAATCATAGCAGCATGAACAGCAATGAGAGAACAAGCAGGACGAGATGTGGTAGCCAAGCAATCATGGTCATAAGTGAGTCACCACCGTAGTCCGAACAGTAGCATGCAGCTGCCGTGTCATGGGCAGGTTTCATGCCATTGTGGACACTTCAGCAACGGGCAGCCGCACTAGGCAACAGGCTGTTTCGACGACCACTGACCCCATAGACGCTCCGGGAAAACTCGCAGGTTCTAAACCCCGAAGCTAAACTCCAACAGTCAAACCTCAACCCTAAACCCTAAAGCCTAAACTCTCAACCCTCACCCCAAGCAGAGACCCGAGAGCCCTCAGCCTCATCTGCTTCAGGGCCTCGGGGTCCAGAACGAGGGGAAATGCCCCCGCCTCGGCTCTGTCTTTAAGGGGTATTGGGCTCTCTGGGTAAGCTAGGATACACGTGCGCTCCGGTGCTGTGATCTGTAGGTTCGTGTAAGTCAGACCTGGATTCCAGGGCTTGCAGCGAAAGTAGCATTGACCCACCGTCTCAGGCTTTTTAATGCGCTCCGTCCTGTGTCCCGTGAACTAATATAGCGGCCTAAATTTCCAAGGTTGTTCCTAGGGTTCCTTTTTTGAATGTAAAATCAACCTCAAAGCCCTAGGCCCCTATGACAAGCAAGTGAAGGCTGCCTTACTTGGAAGATCATGGGACTTAGTAAGTAAGGTTATAGGTACCCTAACTGGAGTTATACGTATAGTTACCTTATCTATAACCCTAGTTATTAAGTCCCATGATCCTCTAAGTAGAGCCCTAAACCCTAAAACCCTAAATCCTAAACCCTCAACCCTCAACAGTAGAGGCGTGATCCAGCGCAGTCTGGAGTCCAACACCCGGCCGGGGCCCAAAACGGCGCTGCGGGAGAGATTGCGGGAAGCCTGAAGGCCGAAAATCGTTCAGGTCTGACCTATGCTGGTTTGGGGGAGTTCCTTGTTATGATATAGTATTATGGTATAATGTACCCCAAAACCCTGTTCTAATTACTAAGGCCCCTATCTTAGGTCTATCGCTAGGTCTCGATTTGGGATTTTGCTTGCTTTCTCTTATTCTTAAATTTAGAGCCCCAGCTTCAAACAGTTTTGCGGACCAATAAAAAGAGCCTAAAATGGTCTTGGGGACTGTTGAAATCGACACTTAGATCGCTATCTGCTGTAGTGACTCTGCCGAGGGAAGGCCAGGGTTTTCCAGCGAATCCCTCCTGGAGTTCAACTCGCGAAGTGGGAATGGATGTAGCATATATATATATACACATATATACACATACAATCATGTATTATATACAGTGTAATAGATAAGTTGTTATTCGTTATCATGGTATATGTATATACACATGCATACAGAATGGACCCATAAGTGTCGGCTTTGTTTTGAGTCTCTATCGTTGTGGTTCTTTGAATCCCCAGACACGACCAGGATTGTGTCTCTTGCAGCTGTGTGCCCCAAGGACGGTGAAGCGGCTAGACGAGCAGATGGAAAGCATGCTGACGGTGCCAGGGCAGCAGCAAGAGTCCGTTGACTTAGGCGATGCCAAATCGAGCAGTGAAAGCGAGAGCCTGGCTGATTCAAGGTTCTGGTAGTCTGTCTTCTTGTTTTGAAACCCTAACCCTCAGACCCTAAGCCTAAACCCGAGACACTAAACTCTAGACCCTAAACGTTGAGCTTAGATGTTGATACCAACGAAGACACTCTTCGCAGTTGCCATGCCTTCTACTCGGATGCCTTCCAAGCTCAAACTTCGGAAGATGTGCCCTTCGTGTTTGCGCTGCGTCGCTTGTATATGGGTAGTTATCCAAATTAAGGTCGCTTTCAGGGTCCTTTTCTAAGGGTGCCGTAGTATCTTTGGGACCTGAAAGGGACCGTAATTTAGAGAACTGCCCATATAGGGTTGGCTGTGTTTGGGATTGGGATTTGCGGTTTCCGGGCTTTGCAGAGTATCATATCGGCCGGAAGACGCACCAACATTTTTCTCAAGCTGCCTTGTTGCATTTATAAGTATTAGACTGTGCCCCAAAACCCTATTCTAATTATGCCGCCCCTGTACTAGCATGTCGGAGCTCAGGGCGAGTCCTTTAACCTGGAGCCTCACAGCCCCTTAAACCCAAAACCCCCAACTCCCAAACCCTAAATCACCAAACCCTGAGCCATAAACCCGAAAAGTCCAGAACCCCAAAGCCCAAAGCCGCAAGCCCTTTGCCCTGGAGCCTTAGTGTAGGGGCCGAAATAATCACCTACATCATTTTGGGGGGTTCCTTATTAAAATTATAGTATAATGGGCCCCAAAACCCGATTCAAGTTATTAAGGCCCCTCTATTATAGATCCCTACTATAGATCCCATCTAGACCCCTGTTAAAAGGAACCCCTTCTAAGGGAGCCCTATACTAATTATCAAGGCCCCTATGTTAGGTGCTTCGCGGCGTGGAAGATAGCTTCGAGCAGCTCTGTACCGACTTCGTTGGGGCAAGGGCCCAACACGAGGATCAAAGGGGGTTTGGGGGTCTTTAGGGTTTAGGGTTCAGGGGTTTGGGGTTGTAGGGTTTTTATTGAGTTTAGGGGTTTCTGGTTTCGGTGCTTCCGTTTGAGGGTTTTGTTTTTTCTGGTGTCGGGTTTTGAGTCGCTGCTTTTAAGGCCCCCCGATACTAGAATCCTTCTAACAACCCTTAAAACAACCCTAGACCCGAAACCCCAAACCCCTGAACCTTTAAAGCCCCAAATGCTGTGCCAAGTTGCGAGAGGAGCTCTCGCAGAAAGTCACAGAGCACACGGTGTCCCTGGATGACATGCAGGCCGCGACGGGGATCCCTCAAAGGATCGCTTAAAAGGGCCCTTAAAGGATCCCTTACGGGGACAGCATCGAACATAAGCTGTGCCGCGACGTAACGCGGGGTGCTTTTGGCATAGGTTGCTTTCGTAGCTGTGGGAGCTTTCACCGGGGCAATCGCCCAGTCTGCAACTCCTAGCAAGCATTGAGACTTTTCACATAAGCAGACAGAAAGACCCTTATCACAAGGACCCCAAGAAGGGACCCCTAAAACCCTGTAGAACCCTAAGCCCTAAACCGACTGTAGAACCCCAAACCCGAAGCCAGAACCCTTATGGCCTCAAAGGGGCCTTCCTTTTGAGCCAAAGTCCCTTTATTTAGGAATATACCTGAGGGTTCCTTAAAGGGCTCCTTAAAGGGATCTATAACGGTTCCAAACGGGAATCAAGGAATATGCCGTAGATTCCGTAAGCTAAATTAGGGGGCTTGGGTGTGTCTAGGAAGTGGCCGTTGGATGTCTGGCGAGACCGTCACAAAAAGTCACGGATTGGAATTCGCAGCAGCAGGTAGAATTCAAGCAGCTGACTGAAGCTGCGAAACCTTGAGCCAGTCTCAATCGCCATGTTCCTTTCTGCCTCTGACTTGCTCAGCCCACCCCTCTCAGACTCTCTCATGCCTGAAGCTTCCGAGGAAGACCTCCCAAAGCGCTTAAAACTAAATCCAGGTGCGAAGCCCCAGCCGAAACACCGCGCAGAGGTCGTCGAACCACGAACAGGCTACTGTTCACGATAAGCCCTAACCCTAACCCTACACCTTCAACTCTGAGCCCCAAGTCTCAGATTCTGAACCTGAAACCTCCCTGAGCCCTTGAAAGTTGGAGACCTTGCAGGTCCGGGTCGACAAGCTGTGTGAGGCGCCTGCCAAGGAGGAGGTGCGAGACAGAAGGAGTTTTCGGGGGAGTAGTGGCTTTAGCCCTAAACCCTAAACCCTCAACCCCAAACCCTATACCCTGAACCGGAGAAAGGGGTCAGTGCACTTTATAAAAAGACCTTAGGTTCAGGGCTTAGAGGTTTTCAGGCTAGAGGTTTTGGTTTTCAAGGGCCATAAGCCCCATCACGCCCTAATGTAGGGGTCGGAATAACTAGTAGTAGCATCCCGTCACAAGGCCGCCCATGCGAAATATCCCCTGCTGTCCAGCCTTATGAAACCACGGTACTCACTCTGATCAGGTGCCAAACGGAGAGGCGAGGATAGAGGCGGGTCTCGGCGGTGTGCCGGTGCTTGTTTCATGTATCATGAGCACCTCGTCTGCTGTGATATATGTGTACCTATATCATATAAATGCAGATCTTATTTCCTGTATATTTTCACACATAACATTTATGTCTATATATATATATATTATATATAAAATGTATATATTCATCATGATGGCTTCTTGGGTTCAGGGTTTGGGGTTCAAACAAATCAGGTCTTGGAACGATCCTCTCGTGGGCCTAGAAACCTCTGCCCACTTTTGCAAAGTGGATGGCACTGCAATGCTCCGCAGTTCCAAGGTAGAAATAACTTTTATCGTAGCAAGAAGCCCGAAACCCTGTTACAAACAGAAGTTTCAAAGACTCGGCAGCAGCATCCTACTTCGAGAGCACCTGCTGGTCTAGCAGGTCTGGCACCGTGAGCTGCGCGAGCTCCGGCGGAACCAGATCGGGCTGGTACAAGTCCCAAAACTGGAGGAAGGGGCCTCGGTGTGGCAGGGCTATGTGCTTGGGGATCTTGCACTCTAATAGAGAGTTCCTTAAAGTCCATGTGGGCCACTGTAAGGGATATGAAAAGGGTACTATCATGTAGGGGCCTTGATAATTAGAATGGGTCCTTATTGTAATTATAGTATCAGGGGGCCCCAAACCCTATTCTAGTGATTAAGGCCTCTATATATGACACACCCCTTTGCCAATGTGCTCTCTGAATCTTGAGTGGACCGGAGAGCGAGCTCGAGGATCTTGCGGCGTTACCAGTTTAGGGTATGACGGTAGGTATGCCGTTGAAATTTCTGAAAGGCAGAGACTTCCCTCTACTTAAAGGCTCATAGGACTTAGTAAGTGAGGTTATAAGTAGGTTATAACTAGGATAACACCACTTAGGAGTCTTATAACCCCAATTATAATCTACTTGGCAAGTCCCATGATCCTTCAAGCAGTGTCGCGTCCACCTCCATCCCTGGCTGCTGCACCGCAGTGCCCTTTAGACTCACCACGGGGTGGAGGCCGAACCGCAAATCTCTCGCGGCCACAGGAGAAAGGAAAGGCCTCGGCGCCCGATCCGTGGCGCGGGTCCTCGGCGCCAAGTTGTGCGGATTACGCTCGCATCGCATGTGGTCCATGTTGGCATACATAAACTGCAAGGTTTGTGTAAAGTCCCTGTCCGTAGTACATGTGACAACCACGCCATAGCTTCGGATTTGTCTAGGTGTCAGCAGAGAGTGATCTTGCGAAGGTTTGAGTTTCGAGGGGGCGTAGATGGAGTCCGTCGGTGTTCGTGGATAATCGTTGAATCGAGGTTTAGTATCGAAAGAGTTTCCCGAGATTCATGGATGATTGCCATAGAATCCACACGACCTTCCGGGGGAGTTTCGTCATGTTGAACGGCTGCCCTTTTGGAAAGCCTCCGCCTTTGCTGCTGTCTGCTTGCGACTTGTTGCATACCCAGCCCGTGGATGTCATCCTGGACCTTCCACACAAAACTTTTCTCTGAGGCCTAGAAAAACCTTCACGGCGGTGGAGGTTGCAGCGCCGCCACATGCAGGCCTGCAGAAATGGCACATGCAGTCTGAGCGACTTTGGAATCTTAAACATGATTGCTTGGCCTATTCCTTAGGGTTCCTTAATAAGGTATAGTATACCCCCAACCCTCAGCATGTTACTGCACCACATGAGACCTCTCAATCAGCCTTCACGCATGTCTTCCTATACATTCGGCTTAGAAGCACCATGTGCCCTGACTACCGGCTGTTGGTTGAAGGTATTTCTTGTCCGCCATGTACACGGGACAGTCTTACAGGGCTAGGATTACTCCCGTGTTCTACACCACAGAGGACGATTGGGTCCACTGAGTTTGTGCTTACTTCTCGCTCTCGGTGATGGCCGTGTCAATTTGATCTGCGGGTTGTGTAACGAAGCCCGCAATCCAGAACCTGCCCGATTCCGCTAGCGATGTCCGCTTCAGGTCCGTTCCCCACCGCGGGGTCGCTGGTGGAAGCGCACAGCGTCTCGTCAAAGGGATGCCCGGGTAGGTTTCGATGGCTAGCAGTCTGCAGTAGTTCACCGCAGCGGACTTGAGACTCTTGTCAGCGTCCATGGACTCAAGTAGTATAGGGGCCTTGAAACTACCTATACTGTTTGGGGGTTCCTTATCATAAGGATACTATACTTTGCCCCAAACTCTTATTCTAATTATTACGGCCCCTATATTCTAGAGCCCTACTGTAGACCCTTGAAATGGAACCCTGGAAAGGGAACCCTATTCTAATTATTAAGGCCCCTATATCTCTGTTCTTGGATGCAGGCTGATGGCTTTGGCTCAAACACACTTTAGAATATGATGTTACAGTATGTTTGTTTATACCATACACTTTACTATACTATATTATACTATACTATACTATATGAAAACTATTTCATGGGGTTCAGGGCCTTACGCGTCCTACCCAGGCCCTTAGGATCTTGGGGGGTACTGCTCGTAGGTCGGTTTCAGCAGAAAGTCCGAGGACAGGGTGCGAGGGGTTTAGGGGTTTGGGGTTGAGGGGTTTTAAAGGGTCGGGGCTTGGGGTTTGGGATTCTCAACTCGAAAGTCTGCACTGCCGTTGAGGGTCGTGACAAGCTTGTCAATCAAAGATGACATCGCAGAAGCATTTAGCTTAACCCTAAACCCTAGGACGCTGTCTTACATGAAGCAGACTGCCACGTGGTGAGCGAAAGGCCCCCCCCTTGCAAGCATCCCTCCTAGAATCCCCGCACGGTAAATGCCCTGTACCTCCTCTCCTTTCCGTTTATCGCAGGCCTGAGATACGAACAGTTAGCTATCGATATCGTATAGCATAGCGGAATAACCCAAAGCTCTACTCTTTCTACTAATGCCCCCTACGCCAACAAAGTCTCCACACCTACATTCGAAGCCCCGGTGCTGTCAAGCTCAAGAGTGCTACCGAGGTAGCAGCCAAGCTCCAAAGCGCTCCAGCCGGGACCTCTGGAGCCAGGAGGGGACGTAGGGTTTAGAGCCTTATGGGAGTTTCCGATTAGGGGGCCCTAATATGTAGTATTCTAAATAGTAAGATCCTGATTATAAGGACCCCGAAATAAGGTACCCTTGATTTTCGGAAACTCCCATATGAACCCTTGAAGCCTTTAAGTTAGGCTAGTGCCGACTAAGCAACCATGGTTCTGCACCACCCGCCCCCCGCTTAACAGCCCCGACGGTGCAACTTCGGGGTCTGTAAGGGCCCCAAGCCGCTCTCACTCTGGGCTTTAGGGTTTCGGGTTTGGGGTTTAGTAAGTTAGGGTTCGGTAAGGCCGGTAACCCCTACACAATTGGAGTTCAACCAACAGCCGGGGCTTCATACAAAAGGCGAACCTTGCAGGAACCCTCCCCGCCCCTCATGAAAGTTCCCCGTTCGCAGCACCCCTGCAAACCCATAGTAGCACCCCACCTAAACCTTGAAGCATTAGCCCCAAACCCCGAACCCGAACCTAACCTCTTTCCCTCCCCGTCCCTTAATAAAAAGTATAAGACAGTGTTGGCTTTTTGGGACTCAGGCCGAGTTAGCGGCAGCACTGGTCGACAGCCGCTGCTCTCCCAGGACGCGACCTCCGAGTTCCCACGTGGGAGGTTTCCGGAAATTAGGGTACCTTAGTTTGGGGTCCTTAATATCATGCGGCACCTAAAATTTAGGGCACCCATAAAGGGACCATAAATTTGACAACTGCCCATGTCTAGTTCGAGAAGCAGCAACAGCGTGTTTGATTGTATGGAGCTTCAGAGGGTCTTGAAGTTTAGGTGTAGTTTGTGGGATATGAGGTCTTACGAGCAGCTATATCGGGTTTAGGGTTCACGGCTGCTCGGCCAAATTTCGGATTCTGGACCCGACCAGACGAGCCTTTTGATACAAGTCGGTAGTCTAGCATTCGTTACACGGCCATTTGTAGTAGGCCTTTTGTATTATTACCACAATTGTCAATCGTGCCACTCTTATTACTCATGATATCCTGATTCTTGTCACTGTTGTATCACATTATGATGATGGCGATCATCATGATAGGGGTGACGTTCTATGGGGAATAGAGGTTGGGGCCCCCCCCACGCAGTCTTCACTTCAGGCACGGTGCTCCTCCGTAGGGACTTCGCAGTCGCCCACAGCACCTTGATAGTAATCGTTGCCCTTATAGTACCCTTGTAGCTAAGAGCCCTTTTCTTGGCGCTCTTTTTGATGTGGGAGCGAGCAGCTTGGGCGCAGGACCCCTTCACGTTGCACCCACGGGCCCGAGTCCAGGAAGGGTCCACTTTCCGTATTGGTTTTCAAGCTGCCCCCCCACCCTGTAAAAGTGACTATAAGGATTATTAGGGCCCTATTATTCCTATTTGTCCCCTATTACAGGGTGGGGGCCCCTTCCAACGTTTTTGCTGTTTGCAGTCACATGCACTGATATCGATATCGAGGCAGACAGAGTGTAAGAGTTGGGAGGACAACTTCAGAATATGGCTTCTGCCATGTGTAGAGTTCCAGTGCAGATCAAGCTCACAAGCACTGAACCCGAAGCCATAATTGGCAAGCATTCTTTCCGGCTATCCCTATAACACTATTCAAGAGGCTGCAAGACCCTCTTCGAATTATTGAGATCCCTTCACCCTCAAGCCCCTGCAACACCTTAGAACTCTTAAGGGAGCCTTGTTCCAATGCTGACGCCACCCTTGGTAGTCATAGACTTACTACAGGGGCCTTAAATATTCATCTAAATTTTGGGGGCTCCTTATCATTATTATAGTATAATGGGCCCCAAAACCCCATTCTGATTACTACGCGAGGCCCCGAAACTAGTCATCTTTGAAGAGCACAGTCGCCAGCAGCTGGTAGGTTGGAAACTCAGGGTACCTTACTTCGGAGTTCAGGGTTTAGATGCTCCTGATCCTAGCAATTTGGGTTCCTATGAGCGTTGGCATGAATTGATTCCTCAGAAGAAGGCCACCAGATCCTAAATCCTACATCTTAAATCCTAGATCTCAAACTCCTAAACTAAATCCTACATCTTGAAACCTAAATCCTACACTCCTAAACCCCCCCTTAACCGTGCCTTCGAGGTCTGGCCGGAGGATGCCCCTGATCACGGTTTCGCCGAGCCGGAGGATGAGGTGCCAGTTTTTGTATGATAGAATTAGTTTAGGGTTTAGGGAAAAGTTGGTTTTTGTATGATAGAATTGGGGGTTTAGGGTTTAGGGAAAAGTTGGTTTTGGTATGATAGAACTAGGGGTTTAGGGTTTAGCGAAAAGTTGTTCCTGCTGTTTTGGTTTTGGGAGTGTTTGGCTTGAGTCGTTTGTTTGATTTCCGTTCTGTTCGTGAGCAACACTGTTGCCTGAGCCCCTCCGACTGCTCTTCGCCTCGTCCCCTGGCTCAAGCCTTAACTTTGGTCAGGAATAAGGCTTGGCCCTGTGACTTTCAGGGTTGCTTCGACATGCAAGGTTGAGTGAGATTGCACTTTGTACTTGAGGGTACTTCGTGGCTAGTTCTGTAAATCTAGTACTTTCGCCTGGTAGCGGAGCTGAAAGTTCTGCAGGACTCTGATACATTGATACATGACTGCAATAAGAGGTGACTTGTCCGGCAAGCGTCGGCTAATGTTGTCGGACGGTTTTGGTGATCACCCACTGACAGGGAAGAATGGGCTTTGAAGCTTGAAATCATGCTGGCGTCCCGTTCGACCACGATGAAACTTCGCAGGTTGTGCTCGACGCAGAGACGTTGAAGCCGACACTGCCCACCGGGGAGTGTTCGTGTCAAGCTTCTAAACTCGTGACGGGCAGTGCGACACTTGTCCCGCGGCAAAGGAGATGCCAACGGCATCGGAATTGACGGAGTGCAACACTTTTGGCACAACTTCTTAGCCTCGTTTTCAACATACGAACGCCAAACGGGCCGACCCTTGCGTAAGGGTGTTCTGGTGACAACATGGGTGCCACAACGCATCCTCTTCGAAGGGCTTTGATTTGGACTGCCCGCGTTTGCCTTTGACAGGCAAGCCGCGACCCCTGTGAGCGATCTCGGGTTAGCCGTTGATGGTTAACGGGCGAAGATGGATTACGGTTGGCTTTGCGAGCCGGCCTCGTTTTCTTACTTTGTGTGTTTGTGATCTAGCATGTTGTGTGGTATCAGCCGGCAGGCCTTTAAGATCAGAGTTTCAAGTTGAGTTCAAGCGGCAATCTCACGTACCTTCAACGGTACTTTGCAGAAGACCTCGCCCTACTGAGGGGCGTGCAGCTTTTGTGCCCAGGATTTGATCAACACGTCGTCGCAATATTGTTTGGTTTTGGTGTTTTGTCTGTGTGCGTGTGTGTGGGTTGAGCACTCCGGATCCTAAAAACCAAGCCTTAAACTTATGATGATTATCTGTGCTTGAAACCCTAAACCCTAAACCCTCAACCCTAGACCCCCTAGACTCTATAATCCCTAAAACCCTAAACCCTAAACTAAAACCTTAAAACCCTCAGCCAATAGCACCCTAAAGCCCTACCCTAAAGCCCTAAACCCCTAAAAAAGATGATGGCGATGACTAGGACAGCGAGCGCCTGCCACGGCTCTCCGGCCGGCCCAGTGCTCGGCCCGGCTCTCAGCGGAATGCGACTTCTTCCCGCGGTGCATGCAGAGGCATGCTTGGAGGATCATGGGACTTAGGGTTCTGAAAAGGGTTCCTTGAGGGGCTCCTGTTGAAGGGTTCTATAAGGGATCTGTAGGGATTTAGGATTTAGGGTCTACTCGGAGGATCATGGGACTTAGTAATTGGGGTTATAGATAAAGGGCTCCTTAAAGGGATCTATACGGGATGTATGGGGGTTAAGGGTTTAGGGTCCACTTGGAAGATCATGGGACTTAGTAAGTAGGGTTATGAGTACCCTAATTGGAGTTAGAAGTATAGTGACCTTATTTATAACCCTAGTTACTAAGTCCCATGATCCTCCAAGTAGATAATTACCAATACTATTTTGGGGGTTCCTTAGTATTGTAATGGTACAAAGGGCCCCCACCATCGTTGTAAGATTCCTTACATGGTTCCGTTTGCTCGAACTCTGTTAAAATCTGCTAGTGTCTACCGGACAATGCCATCACGTGTAACGGCAAGAGGGAAACCTACGTAAGTTTACTGTACTGAATTGTCTGTTCCGCGGTTGTACCCAACCTTTGCAACTTCTTGAGAAGCCATCTAAAGCTATGGATAGGAAGCGGAAGTGTAGGTGTTTGGTTGTTCCAACTGTTGCAGGGGGCTTGGACACGCACCCTGTCACGATCTGTAGGCTTTTCATAGAACTACGGCCCCTGTACTAAATCCTTATGGTAGCCCTTACAGGCCCCTTTAAAGGAACCTCCAACATGAACTGGGGATGAATTAACAAGGCTTGGATGACTTGGTGTAGCTTGGCGAGAATCGACTAGGCCTTTCACCCTAAACCCCTAAACTCAAATAGATGGGTCTTAACAATTACCGTTACAGTTGTGGTGGTTCCTGATTATACTTATAGTACAACGGGTTTTAAACCCTATTCTAACTACAGGGCCCCTATGTGAAGCCCTAAGCGCTAAACCGTGATGCTGGGAACTTCCGGCATGTCGTGGTTGCTCGGATCCGCACCTTCTCTGCTGAGGGCAGTTGAGAGATCTTCTGGGAATACAGAAGCGCACAGCTCCCAGAATCTCAGCCGGGAAGGCTTTGTGCTGGACATGTCGTAAACATTATCCTTGGGCCTCGAAATCTCGTGCCGGCTTGAACCCTAGAGCATGTTGCACATTCGTAGCAGAAGGTTTCAGTAGTAGTGTTTGGAGCTTCTTCCGGGGGTCGGATCCCCGCCATGCAGGCATCTGATACAGAATGTATTGGATATGCTCGTTCTCACGTGTTTTTTCCGGCGCTGGCTGAATCTCGAAGGTCATGGGCTGGCCCCAACCACCAGGGGCGCATGCAAATGTCAGTAGTTCTATTGCAGGCCACAGAAGCCAGTTAAAACCCTAGAAACCACAGACCCTGAACTGCCGAGAGAGCGCCTTGTGGAACCCCCCAAGATTGTTGTTGTTCACCGGCCGCGGACTCACATCCCGACACCAATCCGTCTCAGTTGTGGGCGTCCATTTCGTGCAGGACTCCGGGAGAAACAACAAACACTGCAGGTGTGCCGGTTGAGCCCTAAACCCTACTTTTCGGTGGTTGGGTCTGCACTACAAAGCTGACGCAGTCGGGCAATAAGTCAACAAGTAGGTGGGGGTGCGTTACATTGCATACCCACCCTTTGGTCTGACATAGATCCTCCTTCATTCTTGCTTTGGCGATCTTACATATCTACATCTGTAAATACATACCGAAGTATATACATATATGTATATATATACACACACATCGGTATACAATATGCAATCAATACATATATATATATATATAGATATATACAGTTTTATATAGTTATGTACATTTATGTGTGTGTATTCATATTTACATATATATATATATGAAGCATATCTACACTTTTTCCAGTATGATTCTGTAGGTGGTTCCAAGGCCGCGGCTTCGCTTTGCAGCGACCATGGCCCAGCCCCCCTCCCGGGGGAAGTAAAGGCGCCTGGTCTTGGTCCCGGTGGGTTTAGAGTATGGGGTATAGGGTTTAGGGTTTAGGGTTTGGGGTTTGGGGTATAGGGTTTAGGGCCAGTTTAGGGTGTAGGGTTTGGGGTGTGGGGTTTAGGGTGTAGGGTTTAGGGTTGAGTATGGGGTATAGGGTTTATGAGGATTGTTTTAGACTCCTACAGGCATCTAGGTGTGGGTTGCGGCTACAGGGTTCAAGGTGTTCGGCTACGGGTACATTTCAGATTCGAGAGCTGTTGTTGTTAGAGTTGATACTGCCTCCGTCATCAGTGTTAGCTACTGAAAGCGGCTGTCCTTCCCATTGTCGTCACCATCACCAGCACCATCACCAGCACCAGCAACATCATCAGCATCATCATCATCTCAATTCGTCATCATCGCCATCGTCATTGTGATGAATGGTGCTGCCACCGTCCTTCCTGGCTGCTGCTCGTGCTATATCACCACTACAACGATATCGTTGTAATTCCAGAGAGTTGGTGGGGAGCAGCGGTTTCCTGTGTTTGCAACACATGTGAGTCGTAGCAGGTGTGCGGTTGGACTCAACAAAACTGAAGCTCGGAAATTCAATCGGTGGAGTGCCCAGAGACTGAAGCCCGCGTTTTCCGGAACCCTAGCACTAGCAGACCGTTTAAGGAATGTTGCGCAGAAACGGGCTTCGTAAGTCTCTGGGTGGCTTTGTCCCAAGCATGGTCGCCCTACTTCGAATTGGAAGGTTTCTATTGATGCGAAAATAGGTGCTGTTGAAGGCAACCTCGTGGGCCTTTTAAACCTATTGTAGCCATTCACGGTCTCTCCGATCGACGGCTCCGCGTAGATGCTCAGAGCAAGATGGAGTAAAGCGTTCCTGAAGAGACGTTGCAACGTGACCCTGAACCCTATTGTTTGGGCCTAAAATTAGTTGGTTCCTGGGATCCGAACCACCTATCCAGGCTGCGTAGTATAGGGGCCTTAGTAATTAGAATAGGGTTTTGGGGCCCATGTTTCTATAATTATGATAAGGAACCCCGAATATAGTATTGGTAGTTATCAAGGCCCCCATATTAAGCTCAAATCGACCTTGAAGCCCCCGAGACGCCTCACGTGGCGGGTGAACTAGTCTGGTCGTATGCATGGCAGACTTACGAAACAGTGACGGCAAGATTGCAGTGTTTCGTCATTGCTAGCAGGCAAGCTCCGAAAAAATGATAGAGTAAATTCGACTTTGGGCTGTACAAATCCTCGGACTGCACAGTCAACAACTCAACAACGCCAAAGTGCCGAGCCCTGCCTTAATGCCCATAATAAGGACCCAGGAAGGCCTCTTTCCTAGCTGCCTGAGGGTCCCTATGATCAATGCCTGCAGTACGCAAGAGCTTGACGTCTATAGGTGCTGGATGTTAACACGAATTACTCGTGGCAAATTCACAAATAACTGTGCTACATCTGCGCCTGTTTCTGTCCACGGGCCCGCAGAGGCCAGTAGGTCGCGCTTGGGCAGTCGAAGCCCCACTTGGAGATGCGTGGGGAAGGGCCCGCTGAGAAGCAGGAGTCCGCAAGGAACGAAACCGGTTGATCAAGAGGACTGCAGAGGTTCTCAATAAACGAAACCCGGCTAGGCAGGGTCCCTTGAGATCTTCCTGGGTCTTTGCTTAGAGATGAAGAGGCATCTAAGGGCGAGCCGTTTACAGGTCCAGCTTGCGGAGGGACAACGTACCGGATCGAACGTTGAATTTGCTCGGCTTTAACCTGAATCAGTGCAAGCCCTGAAGCCTACTTGGAGGATCATGGGACTTAGCAACTGGGGTTATAAATAAGGTAACTATACCTATAACTCCAATTAGGGTACTTATAACCTTACCTACTAAGTCCCATGATCCTCCCAGTAGATCTGAATCACTGCGCGGCCACTGAATTGCGACACAGCCAACTACCGTTGTAACTTCTTGATGATGGCTGACGATGGTGGCGATGGGGAAGATCATGATAATGACGATGATGACGGTGATGGTGATCTTCATCACTGCCGCCACCACCAAGAGCATCGCCAGGTAACCAAGCTATAGCCTGATGACGACGGTGACAACTCTTTGCCTGTCAACAACCACGACTAATCACATCGGTTGATAGTCCATGCCGACATTGATACACAGTCCGTGCCCAGGGCAAAACAAATGCTAAAGTCTGCCATTAAGATGCTGAATAAGATGCTGAAGCATGATGGGTCTACCGCCCCGAAACGTAAACCCTAAGCCCCATAACCAAAACCAATACCCACCCTACATTCCATAGATCCGAAGACTTCGATTCCTTGCGGATGCTGATCCAGAGGCTTCCCAAAAGGAAGTGCCTCGTCAGGCGTTCCAGCACACCCGGCTGAAGGCCCACAAGACATAAGGAGTAGTACAGGGGCCTTAATAATTAGAGGAAGTTTCCTTTCAAAGCATTCCTGAAAAGGGGTCTGTAAGGGGATTATGATGGGTCCGATAGGTTTCTATAGTACAGGGGCCTTAATAATCAGAATAGGGTTTGTGGACTTCCTACCATAATTGTCATCAGGAGCCCCACAGTAGTATTGGCAATTATCTGGGCCCCTACATTGCCGGAAGACGAGTCTTTGGAGTGGAAGCCGAGCCAATCTATCAGCAACTGCCTCTCCGACACAAACCGAGCCCTGTCGGCTTTGAATTAGGGACAGAAGCATAAGCATTTGTTGGGATATCCCTACCTTATTGGGCTTCAACCCCAAACCCAAAACTAAAAGAATCGCGAACTTTTGCTTCCAAGTCCGCCGGGTGCGCTGGTGCCGTTTGCTCCGTTCCTGTCTTTGCAGCTCCAAGGGCGCCCGCTCATTAAAGCACCAGACAGCCCCGAAGAACAGCCCCTAAACCCTAAACCCAAACCTTAAACCCTAAACCCTAAGCTTTTGGGTTTCGGAAGCGGCCGTGACTGTTTTTACCAAGCAACAAAACTCCCACGCTAGACCCTCAACCCTGAACCCTAAACCAGATCCATGATTACTAATCATAAGGACCTTTGGACTGAGACTTAGATTCCGAAGTTTGGACTGCCGTCAGGTTTAGGCGTGTCACGCGGGGTTGATCCCCCCCAAGCCCCTACCCCAACAGTAACTGGAGTATTGGCGTTTTATAGGTGCTGGACCGTTATTTTACTTACTTTTGGGTAAGCCCTAAACGCGGGCGGGTCCCCTAAGTCTTGAACTCCAAACCCCTGCGCTCTAAATCCCGCAAGGCCCTCACAGCTATTCGGAGTATTGGTTAGACCCTTTTACCCCAAAAGCCTTAGCCCTTATGTTACCCTGATAGTTGAGTCCTTATAGTCATAGCCCCTTCAAAAGAGTCCTTCAATGCTACAACATGATACAACAGAAACGAAGAACAACATAGTAAAATTATGTAATGCATGACTAACTGCCGGCTGGGCTTTGTTGAGGGGTTCAACGCCTCCCGGGGCTCGCAAAGGCCATGCCATCTCACCAGCAGATATGGCGCAAAGACTGCGCGTTTTCCAGGGCTGCCGCATCGCTGCGTCTTTCCTCGACGCCCCAAGCCAGTTCCTTACGTCTCACCTACCCCAAGCCAGAACTGCAAATAGGCTTCAGAACGTCCATACAGTACATGTGTATCTACACACACACACATATATATATATATATATATATATATATGGGTAGATATAGATATACAGATATAGATATGCGCACATAGCCTCAGTACACGGGTCGTAGATTCAGTGCATCATTTTCAACTCGCCCCGTGAGTTTTGCACATCAAGTGTGTGATATGTTTTCCTACAGTTATGGATGCTTTTTTCATCATTGTAAACTCAGGGTTTTAGTTTCACTGCTGTCCACCTCCATGCATTCTCCTCGATGTTTCCATTCCGTTGCAGGCATGTTCGCTTTCTTATCCCTTGGGTCCTCTTGCTATCCTAATGGTTTCAATGTTTATGTGGGCAAGCCCATTCGTATGCTGAGCGTTTCTGTTGCCTTGCCAAGCCAACTCTTTGTTTGTGCTGCCCCCACTCCTTTCATGCTGGAACCGATGTTTCGGTGCTTTCGGTGCTTTGTTGCTGTTCTGATCCCGTCCGGGCCCAAACTGCCACAAAATATGACCCCCGCACCCGCCCCCCACGCCCGCAGAAAACAAACTAAGACCACCCAGCACCTATTTTTTTTTGTTTTTCGTGCATTTTTGCTGTTGGTGCGATAGGTGTGTTTTGTTTCTTAATGTTTTGTTCTGTGGGGGAAGTGTTTGTTTTGACTGTTGGTGCGGCAGTTTTTGCCATTGCTGTTGGTGCAGGAGGGTGTGTGTTTTTGTTGCTGTTGGTGCAGGGGGGTGCAGAAGAAAGCACCCCTTCCGGCACCAACCGCAAAAACACTCCCCCTCCCAGGAACAGCAAAAGCGCGCTTCCCGCAGCAATAGCACACCCAACCCCCCACAGCACCAGCAGAAAATCAGCAACAGCAAAACAAGAGACTCCTACTCTTTTTCATGCTCCGCCGGCCAGGTCTAGAGTCTAGCATTAACAGAGAGCCCCTAGCATGGCCGTCATAACAAGAAGGGGCGGTAGCCAAAAGATAAGATTCTGTCCATGTACATGAACACAAATAAATGTATAAATATGTGCATTATGTGTCTTATGAGATTGATGAGTATTCTGAGTATTTATGTGTATTGCGTGTCTTTTGTGTATTCTGTGTATTATGAGTATTATGTGTATTATGTGTATGACACAGGTACATCTATGTGTACTCAGAGAGCTGACACCCTCTCGTACATGATTCACTCTGCGGTGTATACTGTGTGCCACAACTGACTATGTGTTCCGTAGCATCTGCTGCTATACACTCTATTTTCAGTCAATGTTGCTCAAAGCTCTGCTATTCTGCTTACATTGTCTGCTCCGGATGCTGTTCTGCATGTTGCACAGAATGTGCTGTGTATCTTACATGCTACATCGTACTTATCATCTTGGAACCCAAATATACTCTTGCACGCTATGGTAGGGTATGAAACGTATAGTCTGGTAAATCCACTGTATTGCAGCTGCACGGCAATTGCTTTCGTCACCCCCGACGGGCGCGGAGATGTAATGAATAATGATGCGAGTATTGGCCACTTCCTGTCAAGTATAGTGTGAGCAGTTTTGGGTTATGTTGAGTTATATAGTCCTATGACGGCAGTAAATTGCATAGCCATGCAGCGCCGTGCATTACCAATAACTTCTGAGCTCGGTTTCCGATACCAGTGGGCCGTTCCCTAACCCGAAAGTAAGCTTTAAGCCCTATACAGCATGGTCTGCCGAAGCCTTGGCCGTTAACCTTGACGGTTCTAGGACCCCTAGCCGCCAAAAGTAAACCATCAAATCGCGAACCCTGAAATCCTTGGCCCTTAACCCTCAACCTTACAGCCCGGACTACACGCAGACTCATGCAATGCATTCCGTTGGGGTTCCTTCAGACCTTTTTATCTTTACAACTTCTGCTCGAACTGTTCAGGCCCAATCCACCCCATATTACAGCTGCGGAGTATGTTGCAGCCGACCAGTACTACATCTGTTAGGCTGCAGGGAGGACGATCCGATCCCCGGATGTGGGTGAAAGGTTGCAGGATTCGGGGCTTTAGGATCGGTTTAGGGATTGGGGTTTAGGGTTTAGGGGTTCAGGATTTAAAGGTTTAGGCTTTTAGGGGTTTGGTGGAGTGGCTTGCAGTAGGATTTAGAGGTTTAAGGGTTTGAGGTTCACAGGTTTTTCTGATCGTCAGTTAGGGCGCTAAAGTTTTGTAAGGGGCTGGACACATAGATTACGGTTTTGGGCATGTTGTTCTCCGGGTGTTTCCATAGTTGCTTCAAGCTTGCCTACACTTTACAACCACAAAGCCCGAAGCGTAAAACCCGGAAGCACTAAACCCTAAAACGCCACACCCTCAACCCCGAATGATCCGTTAAAGGGCTCTTACAACACTCTTGAATGGAGCCCCAATAGGAAACCTGTGTAGATGCCCTTTGATTCCCTTGCGAAGGAGCCCCTACAGGGCATTCTATAAAAGGCCCCTAAACCCTAAACCCTAAACTGCTTTATAGAAACCTAAAAGGTCCCTGTGAAAGAAAGCTCTTGCTGCCGGGTGTTTCGGTCGAGGCCTCCTTGCATCAGATCCTTGAGTGCTGCATGCCTCTGCTGAAGAAACGGCCGGCTTTTCGTGCCTTTAAAGGGATCCTTTAAGGGTTCTTTTAGAGGGATCTATATGGTTTTATAAAGGGTCTATAGGGTTTAGGGTTTCCGAAGATTGGGGGGTACCTTATTTTGGGGTCCTTATAATAAGGATCCTGCTATCAAGGGTACTATATTAGGGTCTCCGATTTTCGGAAACCCCCATAAGGCATCTATGAGGCCAAACCTTTGTTGGCAGATCTAAGCTTTCCTGTTTGGTGGCAAATCCAGTAGAGGAGCCAGCCTGCATAGGACGCTGCAACATCTTTTGTCTTCTTGTATAAGACTACTTTATCATGTCCGGGTGTCAAAACCCGTCGCAGGTTGTGCACGTTCCTTCGGGGTATCAGATGATTTGTGTCTGCAGAAGATGACTTTGCAGTTTGGCTTGGTGATACCGCCTGATGTGAACCATACTGGTAGCATTCCAGAGGGGCAGCTCTGAGTTGGAAGTGAACCCCAAACCCTAAACACTAAACTGGCGACAGTGAAGTGGTGGACGTAGTAAAGATGCAGTTGTGGCGGTGGGTGGTCGCAGCTGCCAGTGGTGGTGGAAGGGACTGCATATCCTCGTGTTTACAGCCGGTTTTGTTGCCGCGTTTTAGTCCTGTATCATATTGTCCCGATATCTGCGATGATAGGAGGATGCGTTTTACGATGCACGGATGCACATTCAGTCCGAAGGCCACAATGATCAAGGGCCTATGTGCTGCAACTGACCTCTTCACGACTGGTAGCGGGTACGCTGCTACAAACTCTCCTCCGTGACAGCTCGCAACAAAATGCGGCCCGATTCCTCGTACTCATCGCCCCCCCCCTCCCCCTTCCCCCCCCTCCTCGGGCGCCTTCGGCGTGCGTTTAGTGTTGCCTGGTGCATCTTTCCAGCGGTCTCATGGCGCCGGAGGTGCATTGCCAGGGTTGAGAGCGGGCTTCCAGGCTTTAAGGGTTTAGGGTTAAGGCTTTAGGGTTTAGGGGGTCTTTAAGGTGAAGGCCTGGATGGACGTTTAGGGTGACTGATGAACTTGAGCGAGGCCCAAGACGTGACGGCGATCGGCAGGAAACTGTGATGATCTAACCCTAAACCCTGAACCCTAAATAGACTCTCAGGGCCAGCTGCTGCTGTGCTTGGCTAGAGAACTTGTCGTTGTCGGACGTTTCTCAAAACGAAGGCTCCTGCTTTGGCCTCGAAGACCTGCTACACCGCTAAGCTACCCGCAACCTGCAAGCCTCAGGCTGCAAGATGGCATGCCGAGGATCTTGCGTGTCTCCTTCCATACCGACCTCCGCAAGAGTCTAAAGGGTAGCACGGCCTCTTAGGGCCCCTGAGGTCTAAGTCAGCTCGAAGTTCAAGACCCTAAGCCCTGAATCCCGAACCCTGAACCCTGAATCCCGAACCCTAAACCCTAAGCCCCATTGTAGATCCCTTTAAAGGAACCCTTGTAGATCCCTTTAAAGGAACCCTTGTAGATCCCTTTAAAGGAACCCTTGTAGATCCCTTTAAAGGAGCCCTTATAGATCCCTTTAAAGGAACCCCCCCAACCCCTAGGCCCTCCTGTTGCGAGGTGAAGCCACACCCCTTCCGGATCTTCGTCTCGGGACTTTCCAAGACACATGCCCGGGACTCTGAGTCTGGTGATAACACAACAAGTATATGAAACATAATATTCATAAAAATATGTGAATAATAGTAGAATATTTGTAAGAATATGTGAATAATCGTATAATACTTATAAGAACATGTGAAGAATATTGTAATATTATACTAAGAGCAGAATAATAGTAATAGTTAGGCAGATAATTCCTGCTTCCTCACCGAGTAGAAGTTCGTGCGCAGGACTAAGCAGGATTTGTACTGTTCTATACTATGCTGTATCATAATGTACTGTACTCTACTTCACCGTGCTATACCATAAGATACTAAGCTAGACTGTACTTTCTGCGCTTGACTGTACAACGCTGTACCATGCTGTACTGCACCGTACGATATAAAAGCGTCTGAAGCAGGGCGTGAAGCACCCCGGTTCGGTTGCGGAGCTGAGGTTTGAGTTCCGGTTCCGTCTGAGTGAGCATCAAGCCCTCAGCCCTAAACCCTAAGCGAAGGTGCAGCGCTACGACGGCAGCGGAATTGTGGAGGAGGCCTCTGTATGCAGGGTGTAGTACTTGGAGGATCGTGGCACTTAGTAAGTAGTGTCAGAAGTACCCTATTTCGGGCATATAAGTAATTGTAGCCATAGTTGCCTGGCTTCTATCCCATGATCCTCCAATTATGCTGTACATGCCTGTATACAGCATACAGTAGATAGTGTACAGCATATGTCTATAGCATATGGTGTATAATATAGAGTACGTACTGTTTTTGCATGTTGCATACAGTACCTATGGCTGAGTATACAGCATATAGTATATGTTCTACTAGGCAGTGAATAGTACACAGTGATATACAGTGTTTAGTATATGGTAGGTACACAAGATCCCGTATGTAGTACAAGCAGTGGATTGCGGATGATATGTTTGAATTAGTAGATCGTGTACAGCATATAGCATATAGCATCTAGCTATAGCACCTTGTAGAATTTAGCAGCAAACCACACAGTACATTACATATATAGTGTTCTTAGGACAGTATAGAGTATAAGGCATAGGGTAAAGATGTGAACAGAGTGTAGAGCACTGAGTATATACGGACGAACAGCAAAATTAGAAGAGTATTCTGCTCCCGAGGATGCAGTGTGTCTTTATCGACTCTGTAAATCTTATGTTTTTGTGGCATGCTACACTGTTCCAGGGAAGGATGCACTTCCAAACCGAGCTGTGTCGTCCGTGCAATGTAATTCTTAGCCCTGAACCCTAAACTCCAAACCCGAGCTGCCAAAACTGAAACCGAGGATAATTTGGGCTACTTCTTCTACGACCGCGGGTGCAAAGTGGAGGATGCGGCTTGGCGAGTGGAGATGAGCTTTCAGTGGCACTTGAGTCGCATGCTTATTCCTATAAAGCACATAACGTGTGTTCGTATAAATATATACAGAAAGAGTAGATAGGGTGTATATAATACATATATGTAGAGTGGATTTGGTTGGATTGCAGCTCAGCCCTCTGTGCAAGGCCTTGGTTCTGCATCTTGCGCACAGGATGCCTTATCCTGTCATCACAAAAGCTGGCTTGGGAGTAGCGTGGGGGCGAGTCCAAGGTGAGGCTGATGGTGGATCCCAGCACGAGCTGGGAGCTCAAGCTTTTGGAATCTGGGGTGAAGGTATGCTATGAAGTATGAATCATTTCTGATTCCGGTGGTAGAGCATGTCCGTGGGGACCAATTTTCGGCCCTTGACGCCTCTGGGTTCCAGAGCCCCTTCAGCTATAGACCAGAACAAGAGCCTCCTTAAGACGAGGTCGCGCAAGTAGGCGTGATGCTTCTGGGAGCCTCGAGCACAGAGTCGTTTTGCAGAGCTTTTGGCCGGGGACTATACTATACCAGAATGTACGATAATATACTGTACTTTTCTATAATATACTATAGTTGTTATATTATAGTAATTGTAATATGCCTTAATAAACTATAATTACTATACTAGTATGTAGACTTGCACAAAGCCCCAGACCGACTGGAGGCAAGTGCAGAGGATTCGGCTTCGTGGACTTCACGGACGAGGTCTGCAGCTGTCGGAGCGACGTTTGAGTGGTTGTCAAAATTTTGGTCCCTTGTTTGGTAACCGATCTATGAGGTGCCGTATTATAATAAGGAAGGAAAAAGGGACCCCAATATTGACAACAACCCACTTGTAGCAGTATTCAGCGTGATGGCGGTCAGCGGTCACCTTGAACTCACCCATCTTTTCAACGCCGTAAGTTTGAAATTTCACTCCTCGCCATCATCGTCATCATCGTCGCCAACATCATCAACATCACCATCACCATCAGCTTCACCTTCTTCTTCACCATCATCATCCTCATCATCCTCGTCGGCACCATCATCGTCATCAGCATCATCATCATCATCATCGTGATCTTCCTCCTCATTGTTACCGCCGTCATCGTCATCAGCATCAGCATCAGCAATAGCATCAGTATCATTGATCATCATCTTCTTCTTCATCATCATCATCATCATCATCACCGCCAAAGTCATCATTGCAATCGTCGCCTTCACCGTCGTAATCAGCGCCACGACCGCAATCGCAACATGTTGAGGCTCGTCACCGCCCGTGTGATCTGAACATTGGCATCTTTCGAGGTTGTCAGGAATGCTTGTGTGACTGTCCGAACTTGGGTCTTCGTTTTAATCACCCTCTGAAAGGTTCTCTAATGCGGGATAGGTCTGACGAGTGGAGGCCATGGGACGCCCCTGGCGGGTCGGGGTCGACTTCTCGCCATTTCAGCATGCTAAGTTGGTTTAGGCTGGATGTCGCACGGCAGGAATCCTTCGGGAAAGCGCTGGCACTCGCCGGCACGCAGGACAGCTGCACAGCTGTCTAGCCAGGAATCCCGCTTTGTGCGGGAAAAGCAGGGCAGTCAAAGACGCCAGAGGTTTTATTGTTCTTACTATTACTATTTCGATTATCATTGTGATTATGATGATGATGTTGATTATTATTTATGCTGTTATGATTGATATAGTTATTACTGCTATTATGAGAGTTAGCATTCTTGTTATCATTGCTGGGGAGATGCTCCGCTGAAACCTAAGACACTTCTGCAACAGCACCAGCGGCCGTCCACCCTAGAGCACTAGTCCGGCCAATGAGATTCCGTTCCTCGTTGGGCAAACCCAAAACCCTATTGACAATCCGGAGCATCATCTGCCCGGCCAACTAAATTTCCGGACAGAAAAATGGCGATTAGAGCCGTTAGAGCCCCAGAATAGTTTTAGTATAGTAGTACCTTCTAATTTATGCTGTTCTGTTGTGTTCTGTTCTCTTCTTTTTTACATCATACTCTATCATACCGCTGTAAATCACGGTAATTTCATTGCCGATCCCATGGAAGCTAGGACTTTCCTCTGCCTCGATCTGTGCCTCTGCCAGAGGATCACCCCAAACCCTAAAAGCCTTAAGCCCCAAACCCTAAAACCCTTAAACCTTTAACCCCCTAAACCTTTAAACTCATAAGCCCTACGCTCTGAACGCCAGAAAAACCCTACCCAAAGCCCTACGAGGATCCCGAGGGCGTGAAGCTGGACCCAGCATCCCACGGCCAACTGAAGGTGGAGGCCGTGAAGGGGTCCTGTAAGGGCTTCTTTCAGGGCTCCTATAGACATGGATCCACAAGGGTTCGTGGGCATTTGTCTTTGGGGACCAGGCAGGGTTTAAGGGTTTGCAGTAGGGTTTAGGGGCCAGGGGTCTGCAGGTTTTAGGGCTTTTGGTGTTAAGGGCGAAAGGTTTTCGGGTTCTGGGCTTGGGATTTGGCATCTGGTTCACGGTTCTGCAGGTAACCGACATGTACTGTGACTTTGGGGCTTTGGACGGTGAAGTTTTGGATCTTTTAGTCCACATTCCCAGGCAGCGAAGCCTGCGCAGCCAGTGGCGCGCGACAAGCACCAGGCACCTTCCGGAGAGGGCCATGGGGTTTGGTGGAACTTGACTGTTACTTTTGTGTTGCTCGTCGCTGTCTGTAGCACAAGCCGAGGGCCAATTCCGATCAGGCAGCCTTGGTTTGCAACACTTCCTTTAGCACTGCGACATGTGTTTTCCAGGTTACATATGGTGCACGACGGACCGTGTAAATGCCAGAAATCCTAAGTGGGGGTTTCCGAAAAATAGAGTACCCTAAATAGTAGGACCATTATTATAAGGACCGTAAGGTACCGCTAAGTTTTGGAAACTTTCAAGTGGGATAGCGCAGGCCCCCAAGTCCTCATACCTCAAGCAGGAGCCCATCTCGCATTCAAGATCATTTAAGGGTTTCTGGAATCCCCCTTAGCGGGACTGTATTTATGTCATTTCATGATGTTTTTTGTTCCTACATTCCCTAAAGCTCTCACTTCGAGGTTTGACTCATACCCTACACCCTACACCCATGGTTTGTGGCCGGCATCCTACACCTACACTTCATACCCAAGGGGCACTTTTGAAAGCTTTACCGCTTCATAAACACTCGGGAAAACCCTGAAAGACTGGAAAGGAACACTTCTAGTGTCCAGCAAATGAACCCTGAAGGGTTTAGGGTTCTAGTACGGTTCCTGTTCCTGCGAGGTTTAGGGTTGCTATGTGGGTGTTTATGCATGGAGCAAGCCCCCACACTTCTAAGTAGCTCTTGTAGGTACCTCTATATGTTCCCCCTAAACCCGAAACCCTCCCCAAACAAAAGCCTTAACCCTAAACCCTCCATAACCCAAGCCTTAAACCCTAAACCTTTGTAGGTTCCTTTAAAGAAAAGCCCAGCAAAGCTCTTGGGTCCCAGGAGTTGGCGAAAGCTCGGGTCGGCGCCTCACCGTGCTCCCCGCATGTCCGAGTTCACTTACCCATCAGGGTTTCGAGTTTCGGGGTTAAAAACAGTTTAGGTGTGAGGGTTTCGGGTGTAGGGTTTCGGGTTTGGCTTAAGGATACTTTTGGATCTCTCGGTAATTGATCATGCGCGCTCGGGTTTGTAGCGTTTCTCCGCGGACCTGTCATGCAGCAATCCAGGAACCGAAATTAATACCAAGACTATTTTGGGGTTCCTAATTACAGCCTTACTTTAATATAACTTACACCGAAAACCCACTCTAATTATTGAGGCCCCTTTGCGATGGAACCCTGCTATAGATCCCTTATAGGCTTTAAGGAACCCTCAAAGCTCTAAACTCCAAACCCTAAAAAGGAACCCTCATGGGCCCCAAGGATCAAACGGAAGACATGGAGCGCGCCCTGCGGTGGCGCGAGGCTTCTGGCATCTTGGGACTTCTTCGGGGATTTGTCTCGAAGGCTTGGGCTAGGGTTGAGGGTGAAGGGTCTCGGATTTAGGGTTTAGGGTCTAGGGTTTAGGGTTTAGGGTCCCTGGAGGCGCAACGCGTTCGGTAGGGTAGAGAGCGGGCCGTGCCTGCTGTGATGCTGGGGGTTTTGCCTACCTAAACCCCCAATCTAGGTAAAATTATGGCCCAGCACCAAAAAAACTGCAACACAATTATTCAAGCTCTGGGGCGCCCCATAGGTTTGAAGGTTCCGTGCATCTGTGGCTTAACCCCCATGCAGTTCTGCTGGGTTTCAGATCCGCACCTGTGCACTCGGCATGCCTGAAACTGTACGAGTTATACCCTGAACCCTATACTATACGATACTGTACCAGTACAACTATCTATTATAATACGATATTGTACGAACAAGTGCACCCCTGACCCGGTGCAACCTGGGAGGCGAACGTCCGGGAGTTGGAGGCAGAGTTGCAGCTTGGCTTAGATACTGCTCTGAGCATGGGGATGGTTGTGCACGTATCATTATATAGATAATTAAATATGAATATAAATAAATATAAGTATAAATATAAATAAACATATATATATATATATATATATATATATATCCATAAAGCACGTGCAGCCATGTATATGTGCACAGACGAACCGTGTGCGTATGCCCACTGTCAGCAGCATCGCAATACCGAAGTATACATGTGCGGACAATACAATTCGCGGTATACTCCTGCATACACGCATAGATACATACGTGCCTCTACATGTACACATGCAAATGGAGAGAGGCTGAGAGGACAGGTCGGTACTTGGGCAAACAGACAAACAGATGTGAGTAAAAAACAAAGGAAAGACCGGCAACTACATGACTCGAGAGAAAATGAAGGGCTGGGCGTCTGCAAACTTGCAGTGCGACGGGCAGATAGAGAGAAAGCGCAGCTACGTCCTTCTGTCGTGTTCAGGGCGACATACAGCGGCCCCGCCCGCCCACTTCCCACCAATCCAGGGCCTAAAGTCAACCGTTGTGTTTTGAGGAAGACACCAGGTTAATGTAGGAACCTGATTAAGAAACCCTGGGCCTAAAACCCCAAGATAGTAGGACTCATATAAGGAGCCTTAATAAAGACCCAAGGTTTCTACATTAGTTCAAGCAGTAGACTTCGCCGAGGCACAAGCATCGCGAGCGGCAGAAGCTGATGGCCGGAATCCCAACATGTACCTGGAGTCTCTTTTAAGGGGTTCTGTACGGTTTCCTACGGGGTCTACTGTAAAGTTTACTGTCAGGATTATAAGGGGTTCTGTAAGGTTTCGTATGGGGGATACTGTAAGATTTACTATCAGGATTACTATGATCTATGATATAGAAGTTAAGAATTGGGATTGTCCTACTGGAATATGGCCTTCCCGCTTATAACCGCTTGAAGCCCTGCAGATCCTCCCTAAACCCGAAGCCCCGAACCCTAAATCCTCACCTTATAGATCCCTTTAGAGGAACCCTGATAAAATCTCTTATAGGACCCTTTATAGGAATCCCTACCTAAACCCGCAACTTGCAGGATGCGCAGCGCACCGTCGAAGTACGGCTGGCGGAAGAGCGGCAAAGGCTTTCTGGCCCGAAGCATGCAGAAATGCCAGCCCTGGAATGAAACTGCTAATCGTTTAGGGTTAAGGGTTGAGGGTTTAGGGAAAAAGGGGTTAGGGTAAAGGGTTGAGGGTTGAGGGCTTAGGGTTTAAGGGTTAAGGGTTCAGGCTACAGGGTTTAGGGTCAAGAGCTTAAGATTTAGGCGGAACTGTTGCGTCTTCAAGCATCTGCAGCAGTTTGGTTGATGGAGGGGAAGCAGCGAAAGTTGAAAGTCTGCGCCAGAACAGGGCACAGGTCCTCGTACTTGGAGGATCATGGGACTTAGTAAGTAAGGTTGTAAGTACCCTAATTGGAGTTATAAGGATAGTTACCTTAAAAAAACATGCTTCTCCAAGCAGGTCCTCGTATCATTCGTGTCTGCCAACCTGTTGGGCCTAGCTGCAACCAGCAACCAAACTCCCCCAGACTCCCTAATATAGGGGGCCTTAATAATTAACTACTATCCTATTTGGGGGGTTTCCGTACAAGTCCAGAAAAATATAACACCCCAAAAGCCTATTCTACTTTTTAAGGCCCCTACATGAGGCCACGCACTCTGAACCCCAGCCTGAAAGTCATCATAGTCCCGCTTACCTGAGCCTTGAAATACTTGGGACAGGCAAGATGAGCTGCGACTGGCAGAGGATGACGGCCAAAGCTCCCCAAACCCTAAACCCCAACCCTAAACGGCCAAAGCTCCCCAAACCCTAAACCCCAACCCTAAACGGCCAAAGCTCCCCAAACCCTAAACCCCAACCCTAAACTCTAAACTCCAAACCCAAAAAACCCTGAACCCTAAAGGGTTCAGGGCTCCTTTAAAGGAGCCCTTAAAAGAAGCCCCAGCTTGCGCTCTACTGCAAGGCTCGGAGCCAAGGCACCCCAAGACCTGTACCTATACTATATTTAACTTCCCTTTACTATATTTATCTATACTGTATTTAACTTTGCTAATTACACAATTTTTTCAGTATACTATATCATGCTATACTATAGATTCTTCACTGTATATAAATAACATTGCATACCATACTATATGGTACCGGAACTTCGCTCCGAAGAGGAGAAGCTGGCCGCAGTGGAAGAGGCGCTACGTGCCGCACTGACCTCGGAGCAGGCGCCCCCAGTGCAAGGCTTAGGGCTTAGAGGGCTTAGGGCTTAGGGTTTGGGATTCGTACAGGGTTTGGGGTTTAGGGCCTGAGGCTTAGGTGTTTAGGGTTTAGGGCAGTGGCTTGTAATCCATGCTAGGATGGCGCCACCTCAAAGCAGGGTTTGTGCATGGCGGCATATTGCGTGTCAAGCGACCTACCTGCATTGCATGTGTCATAGAACTCGGTGAAACCGGAGCTTCTCTTCAACCCGCTGTGATGATACCACAGACAACCACCCAAACCATTTCCTGTTTTTAGGGCTTTGCGCCCTCAATTCCCACACCGAGCAGAAAGGCGGGGCTAGGCAGCACACAAGGGCAGCATGGCAGCAGGGGGGGGCCAGCGGGGTCCCGGGAGGGGGAGGGGGGCAAGAAGGGCTGGTGTAGAGGCTGCCGGGCATCTTCAGTGTCTGGGCACCCAGTTATGGGCCAATGGGTGGGAACGGCCCCAAAAAGCCGGGTGGGAATACACGGTTTAGGCCTGACTGTTTAGGGTTTAGGATTCATATCGGGGTTCAGGGTTCAGGAATTGGAGAAGGGATCCTATTGGGGTTCCTAGGTAGTTGGTTTAGGGCTTAGGGGGTTTGGGGTTTTGGGTTTTTAAATTGGACTTCTGAAGACAAAGCCATTATTTCATCAGTACTTTCCACATGTTGTTCAGTCACACACACACACACACGCATGTGTCAGTGTCTGTGTGTATGAGTCAAACCTATCCATCCATCCGTCCGTCCATCCATCCATCCAGCCGCCCATCGATCTGTCGCCCGATCGTGTGTCTGCCGACCTGTCTATCTACCTATCTCTGCACCCAGTCTGTTTATCTATCTATCTATCTATCTGTCTATCTACGTATATATCTCGAGCAGTAAACACTTCGACCGATTGACTGACAGAGACACATGCACGCATGCGGCAACAGGCTCGTGATCAATCTTCAGCTTGGGAAAAAGCCCTTGAAACCACTTGCGTATGCAAAGACTCTGGCAAAATCGATCAGGAGCGGACGAGGGCACTGGAGGCCATTGCCCACACCGTAGACGAGGAGCATCGCAGGCCGGCTGACTTGACTTGGAGGTTTCGGGTATGTTTCGAGCTTGGAACAAACGGGTGCAGGCAGGGGGGCATGGAGGCTGGTGAGACATTTGTCAGGTTTCAGGCTGGAAGGATGGTGATTATAGGACAGACTTTCTTGCGGAAGACCAGATTGAATGGGAACTGACACATCCAGTCATCGACCTTTGGAGTCCACCTGGGTCTGCATGTTGCACGCACGCATTCCGTGAAGGCATACCTTTGATGATCTAAGTCTGCCACAGGCCTGATCCTCATGGCGCAGAAGAAGTAGGCCTGGTACGAGCAACGGCCCTGCCGTCGTTGCACCATTGTCCATCACCATCATCATCATCACCACCACCATCACCATCGCCATCACTATCATCTTGACGATGATGATCATCATCACCATCCTCATCATCATCATCATCATCAGTTCCTCCTCATCCACATCATCATTACATCAGCATCATCACCATCATCATCATCACCTTCATCCTCATCGTCATCACAGACATCATCGTCATCAGCATCATCATCGCCATGACGTTGGTCATCATTACCGTGCATTCTGAGCATGTCCACTCTGATCCATCATCTGCGCCATTTTGATTGGGATATTCAGTTTCATTCTCGCTAACATCAGGACGCCGTCATCTTAGAAATGGTCATTGCGTGACGCCCAGGCCATGTCATCACCAAAACCATCACCACTATATTTGTGAGCGCCACTGTCACAGTCAGTAGTCAGTGTCGACATGATCGCCGCCGCCGCTGGCGCACCACAACACAAGCGTCGCAATCCCCATCACCACGGCCAATACAAACCCATATGCCGCCACTTCTGCCACTGTTGCTACTATCGCGGCATACGGTCACTGCCGTCACCTACCTCATCACCATCATCCTCATCCTCATCCTCCCTCCCTGCTTTTGTCCTCGTCGTCGTCGCCACTGAATGAGAGACTTTGGCCAGAGTGTTGCCTTGTGAGTCTCTTTGCAGCATCTTGCAGTGCATAGTGACATGCTTTACTGTTTGTTATTTGCTATGCTGAATGCACAAAACTATACCCTGTGTGCTATACGAGGTCGCCATTTTTGACTATACTGTAAACTCTAAGTTGCAGTCTATGTACTATGTACTCTCCATAGACTCAGTACTATAGACTCTATACATCGCACGAACAACGGTGTACGATGTCGTTCTACAATGTACGATATACGATTTATGGTATGCGGCATACTATATATACGGTACACCATATGCCATATGCTACATTTTTGTATGCTAGTTTCCATATACTGGCTAGATAACATGTACTATATGCTATATTTATATAGCGCATACTATATTATTATAGACGATCTACTATGTACTATACCTGCTGTCAAGGGCTTTGGCATCTTGGAGTCTTGAATCTTGCCTCTTGGTCCGCAGGCGATGCTTCCGAGGAGGAAGCCCAGGAAGGGCCAGGACCGCCAACTACGGGAAAGGAAGGTTTCAGGGTTTGGGGTTCAGGGGTGAGGGTTTTTTTAGGGTCTATGGGTTTAGGGCTTTAGTGTTTGAGATTTGGGGGGTTAGGGTTTAGGGTCTACGATTCGGCGGTTCAGGATGGTTGGGCCTCAAGGTTTAGGGCTTTGGCCAGGAGGAGTGAGGATTGACTGGCAGACCACTGAGTATGGCCAGATGCGGAAGTAGCCCTACAAACCCTAGGCCCTCGACCCTCAACCCTACTTTGTCAATGGAGGCCAAGAGGGGTTTTAGCCTATGCGGATTTAGTAGGGATTTGGGTTCCCATAATAGGGTTCATATTAAGCAATCTCTACCCCAAGAATCTTAAACCCCCCCTTCCATCGCTTTGGGAGCTCTTGGGGCTGCGAGGGCTCGAGCTCCGCATCAAGAATACCTTCATCGAGTTCTGCGTCCCCAAGGAGCACGAGCACCTGGCCGCGGACCCGAGATTTAAATTCGGGATTTCAAGGCTTCGCATCCTCCACGCAACTTTGCAGGGTCGGCCAGGAGATCTAGGCGCTTGGTAGGGGCTCCTTATTGCAATCATAGAAGAAATATATAAGGGATCTACAGGGGTTGAGGGTTTAGGGTCTACTACCCCAAGGGTCCAAGTACCTAATAATCATATACTCTCCAAAATGCTAACGTACATAGCTACTCTCCTAGAGCCAAGTACCTAATCATTGGATCCTCTGGACCTTTGGGGTTATTGCAAGCATAGCAGAAATACTCCGAAACCCTATTGTAATCGTTAGCACCCCCCAGATTATACGCCTGAAACAAAGACATTTTGCAGGAGTTGTGTGTCTCGGATTGGAAAGCTGGTCAACCTCAAAGTAACGCGCAAGTCCAATAGTTGATCCCGGCATGAATCCAACATGCCAGCGGAAACCCTATGCCCTAAACCCCTAGACTCGAAAGCAGACCGTACGCACAAACCCTAACCCTATTTTTGGAAATTCCCATATAGAAGAAACACCTAGGTGAGAACTCGGACTGCTCCTTCCATGGTCTCGCAGATGGGCTCGGAGCTTGGGGCGATGACTTCAGGGGGAGCTATAGTCTCCCCAGGATTCATTTTTAATTTTGTTCATATAAATATTGAAAATGTCATTTTTACTATGGTTCTCAGGGTGGTATAGGGAGGTCTGTGACATTCCGGCAGGGGTTGGGGAGTTACTGGGTTACCGTGGACGTGCAGGGTCTGCCAAATTGTAGGAGGCGTTGCGGGGTTATTGGAGCTTTGGTTCGGACGGGGGGCTTGTCTACGTTTAAGGCGGAGGATGTGCAGCCAGATGCGAGCATGAAACTCACTGGAGCCGTGAGCCCGTCATGAAGGTAGGTACGTAGATCGCGATCTCCAGTACGGCTTTCATCACAAACAGTGTGCTTCTATTCCTAAGCCCTAAGCATCATGCCGGGCAGGGTCTAGATGTACCTGTCAAGCTGAAGCTCTACTTTGAGGCGACACATCAGCTCCCTCGCCCACTGACGGCTATATGGAGGCAGTGGAAGGGCGGGGCTTCGGATGATGCACTGGGAGGATCATGGGACTTAGAATGTATGGTTGTTTGGAGGATTCTGTTCGTTCTTCTTTCGACCCAATGAGGACCTGAAATTGGGGTTAGAAGAAAGAGTTAGTGTAGTTACTGTGATAAACCCCTACTTGCTAAGTCTCATGATCCTTTAAGTGCTTCAGAGATTACATTCGGAGTTCATGGCCCGGGTTTGCGCTTTAGCGGCTGCCACGATTGCGGTTGACCGCCGTCGAAATGTGATGACTTTGAGCCCAAGTGCTCACTCCACGGAGCTGGGAACTGGTGACTGGAGATACAGGATTCCGAAACTGCGAAAAGCTTCTTGAATCGAAAGACGTCCTAGGAAATACTAAACCGTCGTGTCAAAGCCCGCACCTTCCTAGGAAGGTGGAGCCACCTCTTCCTCACAGAGGCCGGCACGATGTTCGGGAATTCGTGTTCTTATCATTCCTGGTTTCGAGGCATGTGGATGTAAGATTGGCGGTTGTCCTGCTGCCTTGTCTTGTGCAGGCCTTGCCAACGGTCCTGCATGATCAGCTTTGTCATAGTTGGGTAACATTTTACATTTTTATGGGTACTTAAACCCAAGAAGGAATAACAATGTACATGTTTAATCTTATTATGAACTAGTCAGATAGTCTTAGCTCGCACCTTATTTCCTTATATCGGGAACCTATTCATGAATAATTTTCAAAGGGTTTAAAGCACAACCCAGTAGTTTCAGCTCGCAGAATTTCGTCCCGAACTTGCTCTGTGATCGCCCCACCGAGAACCAGCAAATTCGGTGCAGCCGAAGTTCGATTCCGAAGCTCGATGAATGCCGAGAACCAGCAAATTCGGTGCAGCCGAAGTTCGATTCCGAAGCTCGATGAATGCGGGACCAAACGTCCCTCATAGATCCCTTACAGGAGCCCTTGGTACATAAACATAAATACAAATATCTCAAGAACAATATACATATAGACAAAAAGTATATCTTTATCTATTATACAGATGTACATAAATATCATACAACAGAAAACCAGCAGGACGTCGCCGCTCCTCACCATGGTGCCAGCGCCATCGCCCCCCGCGCCCTGGGCGCTCAAGCGAGACTCGCTCGGTTTCCCAGCTTTCTGCTGGGGGCCGTGCTTGGGACCTAAAACCCTAAACCCATCCCAAAAATCCCGTTGTTTTGTTCTTATAGTAATTCTACAGCGAGTAGCAATAGGTATAGCAAGAATGATGGTTATACTCATATAGACTCATAATACCAGTGATGCTCTGTTCCCGAAACCCGAAGTCGACTCAACTTCTGCTCCGTGACTCCGACAAGGTCGAGCATCCTCCGATCCATTCTGGAAGACAAGCCAGGGCCCTGACGTTGAGGGCGTCGCGGATTTCAGGGGGGGACCCATAAAGGCTTTAAGCTGGACTCTCTGGTGCGAGGGAATGGGGGAATGGATCCCCATAAGAGTCCCTACATACTCCCCAATAAGAGTCCCCATGATCCATTCCCCCACTTTTCTGCTCTACTAAGAACCAGAGAGTCGAAGGTGCCTTCTGGTACCGGCGGTGCTTTTTTGTGGAGGGACTGTGGCTCTTTCGAACTTGGGCCTTGAACTGCTAGGGACGAAAGCTACTGCGGGCTGCGAGGAGTGGTTTAGGTGTTTTCAGGTGTTTAAGGGTTGCTGGAAATTGTATGGGAAGCATAGGACTATGGCCTTCATGGAGATATCCGATTTTCAAGCCTGCTTGTACATTTACATGCTATCCTTTAGGCATTATTCGTTGCAGTTCATGGTGCCTTTGAGGGTACGTGTCCTCGTTCCCTTCAGGGTGTGATGTGCAAGCCTCACTACAGCTTTTCGCCAATGGCGGGGTCGTCCACGGCCTGCAACCACTGGCCTGTAACCACTACCAGCACTCATAACCACGCAGCTACTGACACTGCTGAGCCTCACGCCTCACCACCTCTGGATCCTTTCACGAGTAGCATCCTCAGCCGTAAAACCCCGAACCATAAACCTAAGCCCCAATGAACCCCTCACCGCCAAACCTCTAAACTCTAAACCGCTAAACCCCTAAACCCCAAACGGCCCCAAACCCTAAACCATAAAGCCCCAAGCCTCTAAACCCTAAACCTCGGAACCCTAAACCACAAAGCCCTAAACCCGGTGGTCCGTAAGAGCTCAGAGTCTTCATCCGAGGATGGAGGCCGAGTCTGAGCGGGACGCAGCAGAGAGCCGAGGCCGCGGATGTCTTGGTCGGCCACGTGAATAAGATGAGAGCTAGAGAGCGAGAGACAGAGAGAGAGAGGGAAAGAGAGAGAGGGAGAGAGAGAGGGAGAGAGAGAGGGAGAGAGAGAGAGAGGGAGAGGGAGAGAGAGGGAGAGTTAGAGCGAGACTTAGAGAGGGAGAGAGAGTCATCCTGATCTGTAAGCTTACGTGCGCACACACACAGAGAGCACGGACACAGAGATATGATGTTGTTGGTCTGGATGACGCTCCATCTTCCCCTGCAGTGTGACGACCTGCTGCTTTTGCAGCTGAAAGGATCTTGATGTGTGTCAAGGGTGCCTCGAACAGTACCGTTTCGTTCGAAAGCTGCGATGCAACAATTGCGACTGTCTCTCCTGGCTTTACTACCCTTCCGGCGACTCTTCATCCACTTTGATGCCGAATGTTCCTGGACTGTAGCACTCCTCCCTACCGTATCTCTATCCCTCTGGATGTAAGGGCGAAATGACAACAAAACATACCGGCCCCGTGCGGTGTTGCCCGTGCGGCGGTGGACAAACATCCTGTAAGAACCCTTTTTTTAGGGGCCTGAATAATTACCTATACTATTTTTGGGGGTTGCTTCTTATAACTATAGCATAAAGTGCCCCAAAGCCCTAGTCTAATGATTAAGGCCCCTATATTACATATAGTACCCTTATAGATCCCTTCTAGTAACCTTATGTAAGAACCCTAAGCACCACACCCCAAACCCTAAACCCTAAACCTAAACCCCAAACCCTAAACCCTAACCCTAAACCCCAAACCCTAAACCCTAACCCTAACCCTAAACCCCAAACCCTAAACCCTAACCCTAAACCCTAAACCCGAAACCCTAAACCCTAAACCCTAAACCATTGGCTTTTTTGGATCCAGGTCGCAGTGCCTCCCAGCAAGCCAAGGCGGATCTGCGCTCTCTCAGCGTCAAACTCGGGGTTGCCGCGTGTTGCCTTGGTTTGGAGTTGAATATAGGGGCCCAGGGTTCCTTTAAAGGGGTCTATTAAGGGTTTCTATAAGGGATCTATAAGGCTGCTATAATGTAGGGGTGGTTTGGGTGGCTATCAAAATTATGGTCCTTTTTGGGCCCTGAATATGGTACGGCACCTAATGTTTAGGGTGCCTAAACAGGTACCATACTTTTGACAGCTACCCGTTTAGAGTTTCATATAAGGGCCTAAATGATTACCAGAACTATCTTGGGGCGTCATGAATATAGTATAATGGGCCCCCAAACCCTATTCTAATTATTAAGGCTGCGATGGTTGGGATTGCAGAGAGCTTCAGATCTAGATGTCAATCTTGACTTGACTCTGTGTTTCGCTGATGTCATCATCCCCCGAAGAACTAGAGCCCAAGATATCCTGGATATGGCGTGGAGACCCCCAAATCCTGCCTTTTCGTGATCCTAATAAATACCGTCACTGTAGCGCAATGCACCTTTGACCCGGAATTAGGCCTCTGTTTCTTGAGGCACTTCAGTCGATGTTGCCGGCCGCCGCTACCGAATCGGAATCGCGCCGTCCTTCTGAGTCCCTCTGACAGGGAATCACGAACGACCCTAGACTTTGGCCCTAATCGCTAAACGCTAAACACTTGCAGCAAAGTCAGGGGACACGTGGTTTTCAACTTGGAACTCTCTGGCACACTTACTCGTGAGGGCTGTTGTGCTAGAGGTGTTAGAAGGGTAGCAGAGGTACCGGAAGCTTAAGGAGGGGAGGATTGGCAAGCATTTGTGACATAAGTAGTCTTTGGAGTGGCTCGGGGACCAATTAGCTCCGGTTTGAACCCTAAACCCTAAACCCGAAACCCTGAACCCTAATCCCTAATTCCTAAACCCTAAACCCTGAACCCTAATCCGATAACCCCTATACGGTTTGAGTTTTGTTGAGAGCTTGTTGCCACCCAGCGGGGCTGGAACCCATGGCCTGCTGCGCTTCGCGGAGCGCTCCGACGGCCCTGGAGACTTACGCCAGATCCCTGCCCGATGACGCAGACGCTGCTTGGCCTCACCCTATGGGCGTAGGCCGCGTCTCATGTAATATAATTTGAATAGAATCGAATGTGAGGTACTCTAATCTGAAAAACATAATGCAACAAGCATCGTCAGTTCCGCGATCGCCATGACAGAAATCCCAAGTTCACTTTTATCAGCTGGGGGCCGGGGGCTCAGGCAGCTCCGATGCTTTTCCCTATGTACACCGTCTCCGTGGACGTGCTGCTCGAGATGAGGAAGGTGGAGCCACACGAGGAGTTAAAGGCCGAAGTCGGCAGTACCTGTATAATATCATATTATATCTTTCAGTTATAATCGATTATGTTATGCTGTCTTGTATTATGCTATTAACGTGTTGTGTCTTTTGTTATGCATTCTATGCTCTGCGTTCTGTTGTTGTCGGGCTGTGCACTTCCCTGCGTGAATATGTACTACACGGTGCTGGACGTCCATGCACAGGCCCTACTTGGAGTAAGTAAGGTTATAAGTACCCTAATTGGAGTTATGAGTATACTTACCTTATTTATAACCCTAGTTACTAAGTCCCATGATCCTCCAAGTAGGTGCCCTCGGTTTTGGAAGCTCCGAGACGAAAACGGCAAGACCTGTTCTGTTCTTCTTGAGTCGAAAGAGGTCGTCAGGAAACCCGGGCTCCGATGTTGCAGCTTTCGACGGACTGAAAAGCCACATGATTTTAACTCGACCACGATGCAGCAGGATAGGATATTGATAAGTTGCTGCCTGCATTTGCTGTGTCCGAAGAGCGTATTCAACGATTCAGTCATTGTTGGGGACCGGAGGCGGCTGCATGCAAGAAAATTTGTTTTCGTGTTGGTTGGAGGCGCGGGGCGAGCTCACGGTTTTCAGCGACGACATGGGGAGAGCAGCTTTCGTTTCGCATCAGTGGCTTGCCGCTGACCATCCGGATCCCGACTTCAAGCAGATGTGCGGTCTGCAGGATGCGATGAAGCTGCTGCGGTGCGGCCGTGGCTCTGTCTCACTGGACCAAGTTACCGAAAGCTACGTGCGGACCGCCAAGCCCATTCCCATGCATGAATTTCAGGTCCAGGCTTTGTTCGTTTGGTACGATTATTTCTCATGCCCACAGCTGGAGGAACGGAAGTCTTTCGGCGCGGATGAGACAGATGGAAGCCAGCAGGCAAGCGCTATCAATAGCATCCCAGCTTACGTAGCCAAGTGCCGCTTCTTCCTAGCCCTATGCCCGGTGCTGGATTGCCCCTTCGTGGGCAAGGTGTTAACTGCGGCCACTTGGAGCCGGAGGGGGTGGTGCCGCCTAGAGCGCGCTGCGCGAGAGCTGTCACGAGACAGCAGCTGGATTCTGATTCGCAGTGACACGTCTATGGAAGTTGTTGGCACGGTGCTGTCGTTTCCGAGTGCAGCGGTTGGTGAAGGCGACTTCACAGTTGCGGATGATCGACAGAAGCTGGCCCCTGTCATGCGGCAGATCTTGGTGCAAAAGCTGAGTCAGTGCCTGCGAGCAGGCGACCTCGCCGGTTTCCGGCGGCACTTCAACCTCCAGGCGGTCCATCTACGAGGTCTGGACATTGAGTCGGTAAGCAGCCCGCTTGAGAGATCCGATGGCGACTCGGTGGCAGAGTTCCTGCACCAGAATGGATTGAGGAGGGTCGACGAGGCCGACACTGCTGGGTGGCGTCCGCTGCACTATGCTGCGCTTGCCGGGAATACGACGGTGCTAAAGGGGCTACTGGAGCAGCGCGCCGATTTGAACCGGCGCACATCGAAGGATGAGCCGATGCTCGGCTTCCCGGCCTGGACGTCAGTGCTCGAAATAACCACTTTCTACAAGCACCAGGAGGCAACACGCTGGCTTCTTGCTGCGAGGGCCCGGTTAGGGGGTGGACGTACTGGGAGTCCTATCGCATTTGCGGCAATCTCCGACAATGAAGAGGGTGTTCGCTTACTCTGCATGGCAGGCCTCAAGCCCGAGGCTCAAAACCTTTTTGGCCACACCAACTTGGAGGCTGCAGCCTCCTACGCTGCCTCTTCAGCTTTGGAGGAGTTGGTGCTGCAGGGTCGCCCGGACCCCTTACAGGTTTCAAGAGCACTCTGGGCTGCGGCAACTTTTCGGGGTGGCTCGGCGGACTTGGTGCTCCATCTCATGAAGCTCCGTGCCGACATAAACTTTCAGTTCAACTTGCCTCGCGATTACAGGCCGCTCGGCCGGCTAGTCGTGGGCGTGAAGTCCTTGCAGCACCGACTCGGGTCAGCCTCTATGATGACGGCTTTTGCTTATCACCTCCACGGCAGCACTCCACTGATGCAGGCCGTCAAGTCGGCTCAGTTTGAGGCTGCAGCAGCCCTCATCGCAGCTGATGCTAGACTGGACCTACGCAATTGCCGGAACTGGGCCGCGGCCGACTTTGCTAGGGGCCAGTCGATCCCACATTTCCTTCAGCTGGGTCTGGAGGGGGACGCGTCGGCGTGCCGGAGGGTGTCCTCACTGGCCATGGCTGACGGCTATGTGGAGGTTCCCTTTTAAGTTCTACTGGGAGGATCATGGGACTAAGTACAGTTATAGTTATAAGTACCTTAACTGGTGTTGCAAGTATTTTTCAGTGTAGCTACCTGGGGTTTAACTAAGTCCCATAATCCCCCAAGTATCGGCGAACTGCGGCGGCTTTATGCACTGCCCCGCAGTTGATGTTGGCCCACCGCAGCTGCGAAAAAGCCGAGGGCACCCCAGGGAGCCCCAAAGCTACACGGCATTTTGCCGTCAAGCGACCGATAGTCCATGTTTCGATGTAATCAAGCAGCTTTACCAACGGCCACACTAAAGTCCGCAAATCTTGGACACTAAACCCCAACCCCCCACAGATCCCACCTAGAAACCCTTAAAGAACCCTTATCGATTCTTCTTATCGATCCGTTTGTACGCACCCTTCAAGAAGCCCTTAGAGGGGCCCTTAGCCTCCGAGGCCCCGAAGTCTGGCAAATTAAGAGAGTACTGGGTAGGCCTTTGGGTTACTTACATAATTTTCTTTCCCCATAGTAGTTCCATTTTGGGATTACCCTATAGGATCCCATATATTTTATAGTGTTTTTTTTAGAGATAGGTTTATAAGGACCCCAATGTTTCAAAGGGCTCTAAAGGCCAGCCCAGAAGAGAATGATGTCCCCATGGCGGCAGGGTCGGCAGAGATCCATCGAGAAGGCGGAGGCGGCTGCCATCGTTTCGGAGTAAGATAGGCTTAGGGTTTACGTTTTAGGGTATAGGGTATAGGGTTTAGGGTTTAGGGTTTAGGGTTTGAGGTTTAGGGTATCGGGTTTAGGGTTTAGGGTTCAGGGTTTAGGGTTCAGGGTTTAGGGGTCGGACTAAGCACCAGCTTCATTTTTCCCTAGGGACCTAAGGCTCTTGATTCAAGTTATGCTATAAGTACCCCAGCCCCTGTTCGAATTACAAAGGTGGCTATATCATGAAGAAGAATTCTCAAGCCTAGCAGCCCGAGCATCTTAAGCTCATGCTATGAATTTGGATACAAGAGACCGCTCGCTGAATGCTGAGAGGGCTTATGCTTAGCTTTTATTTGGGGGTTTCGGGCTTCGGGTTTCGTTTAGGATTTCCAGGGAAATCTTCCCATCCCAAACTCGCTCTTGGATGGGCTTGAAGAGGGTTTCAGGGTTTAGGTTTTTTTTTGGGTTCGGTTTGTTTTCGGTGGTTTTTGGGGGTTTAGGGTTTAGGGCCGTTTAGGGCCTTCAAATTCAGCAGGCATGTTGGCACAGCCAATCACGGAAGTGTCTGAGCCTTCACCTTCAGACCCATCCATTCCAAACTCTACTTCCAAGGTTAGCGCAGCGAAAAGTCCGAAGCCACATACAACAGGTAATAATTTTCCCAAGTTTTTCGAGTTTAAACAAATCTCGATGCTAATGAGTTCCTTCTTTTTGTGATTTTCACCAACCTCAAAGCAATTATCCCTCTCAGCTCTACTACAGGCCCCAAAAGTGTGGTCGTCCCTAGCCCAGCCTCGCCCCTCCAACAAATTTCCAGACCCCTAAAGCCCCGAAGGCCCTAAGCCCCAAAGCCCAATCCATGAGACCATGGATCCTGCAGCCCTTTTTTTGAGCCCTCCTAAATCCTAAACCCCAAAAGCCTTAAACCCTAAACCCCACAAACCCTAAACCCAAAAAAACCCTAAACCCCAAACCCCCAAATCCCTAAACCCTAAAAGCCCGAAACCCTAAACCCTAAAAGCCCGAAGCCCTAGACCCTGAACCCCTAAAGCCCTAAGCCCTAAAAGCCTTAAGCCAGCTTAGAAGCCCTCTGTCGTGGTTGCCGAAGGCACCAGCTGCCGAGGCGGCCGCAGAGGACGCGGCTCGAGAGCAGCGAACAGGACGAGGGTTGGGTTTGGGAGTTTACTTGGAGGATCATGGGACTTAGAAACTGGGGTTATAAACAAGGTAACTATACTTATAACTCCAATGGTACTTATAACCTTACCCGCTAAGTCCCATGATCCTCCAAGAAGGGTTTAGGGCTTGGGGTTAGGGTTTAGGGCTTTTTGGGGTTGGGGTTTGTGGTTGAGGGTTGAGAGTTTGCCCCCAATCAAGCAGCCGATAAAGACCCAGACACGCATCGTAGCTGTGACAACCTACCGCGACCAAGTGTAACTAGATACAAGGAAGAAGCGATCCACGCATGCTGACAACGAGCGTACCATGACGACCATGACCTAACCATTTACTTGCCTGCCCTGCCAACCTATCATTGTGCCTGCATGTCACACTAGATACTTGCCCCACACATCCGTGTGTCCTGTTGTTATACAGACTCCCCCAGTTATCCTTCATCCGATGAAGTGCACATACCATGATGCACAGGTATCTGCAGGCATGCTTGTGCGCCTTCCTCAGAGGAGCGCACTAAGCTCAAAACTTCCAGCCAGGAGTAGTATTTGTACTGGTAGTAGAGCTAGCATTATTGAAAAACCCTAAGCCCCAAACCCTAACCTCAAACTTCCAGCCAGGAGTAGTATCTGTACTAGTATTAGAGCTAGTATTACCCTAAACCTAAAAACCCCAAACTCTCAACCCGAAACCCCAAACCCCAAACCCTAAACCCCAAAAGCTCTCAGCCAGGAGCGCTGTCGATGCCTTCCGACCACATCACGTCTTGGGCCGACGAGAGCTCGGGCCCCTCTTTTGGCCTCGAGACAAGTGGGCCTCAATGTAGTCTACTTGGAGGATCATGGGACTTAGTAACTAGGGTTATAAATCAGGTAACTGTACTTATAACTCCAATCAGGGTACTTATAACCTTACTTACTATGTCCCATGTTGGAGAAGAGGCTTTATAGGTTGTTATGGGGTTCCTTGAAAGGGTTCCTTACAAGGGGGTCTATGAGTAGTAGGGTTCTCGAGTGTAGGGGCCTTAATAATTTAGAATAGGATGTCAGGTAGATTATACTGTAGCCACAATAAGGAACCCCCAAAGCCAAAACCCTATTCGAATTCTTAAGGCCCCTCCATTAGGGGCTTTATAGGTATAGCGGCTTTATAGAGATGCTGTATTTATGGCCTGATAGATCTCTTGTAGTTGTATTATACTGTAGGTTTCTATTTCAAAGTGCAACAAAATGGTTAGAATGCGCGGGTTCCTTAAGCGTTTCCTGTAAGGGTGAAGGGTTCTGTGCTTCGGGGGGTTCGGGATGAGTGCCATTGTTTTCATTTCCTTTTCCAAGTTACAGAGTTGCCGAGTTTTTTTTCTCAGTTTGCAGCTGAAGGGCCGACGACAAAACGAATAGGGATGATGATGTTTGTGGTGATGACGAGGATGAAGATCATGATGAGGGCAGCGAAAGAGGACGAGCGAGTAGAAAGTCTACGATCGCCCTTTGACGATTCGTGCATTAAGCTGGGATATAATCTTGGAAGTTCTCTCCTCAGCTGTTGTGAGGCGAGAATCTGGAGACCGGAACTGCGGACCCTTGGTCTGCACCGGAATCGGACGGCAGCGACCCTGGCCTCTATGCTGAGGTTTCGAATTCTCGGCCGGCCAATAATTTTGCAGCTCCGGGTTCAAAATGTGCGGTTTCGGATGCACCTTGGAACCCCCGATAGCTTCCTAGTCCTGGAGTCTACTTCCTTAAGGGTCACCCGGGTAACCGGAGGATGCACCAGGAGAGTCAGAAAGTCTTGGGGCTTTTGGTGCACGACGTTTGCAAGGCGCACCCACATGAGTGGGGTGAGCTTCTGTATGTTGTGGAATTTGTCCTGGATACCACCCCGTCCGCGACAGGTTACTGTCCGTGGGACGTAGAAAGAGGTGATCTCCCCCAGCCCAGCCTGACAGGCAGTACCCGGAAGATACCATGGGAGTTTCCGAAAATTCAGAGTACCTCATTTTGGGGCCCTTATAATAAGGATCCTACTATTTAAGCTACTATATTCGGGTCCCGTATTTTCGGCTACTTCCCAATAGCGCAATCGTTGTCGTTGTCGTCTTGCAGTGGTCGCAACAGTGTTCTCTATCGATTGATGTTTGTCGGTTCTGGCTGTGCTTGTTGCTGACAGTATCCAGCTTCAGGCGGAATGCTACCAACCGACCCCTAAGACGACTGCCCTGCTGCCTGTACCACTACCACTAGCTTTAATACTACTACCGCGACGACGACGACTACTGCTACGACTGCGATTGCGATTAAAATATGAGTTGCCATCCAGAGCCCCTTTTCTCTAAGCCCTTACTCTGCCCTTATAGTAATGGTACGCTTATAGTATCCTCTCACAGTACCCTTGTAGTCGTAATCTGAATATGAGCCTCTGTCGTGGCCTCTTAAACGAAGAAACCCTCAACTCTAAAGCCTAAACTCTAATCCTCAGCCCAAAATCCTAAAGTCCCTAAGCCCTAAACTCTAAACCTCAAAGCCGCTAACACCCAAAAACCCTAAACCCCTGAATAAAGGAACCTGAAAACCCCTAAACCCCTAAAGCCCTTGTAGATCCGTTATAGGTCCCTTAAACCCCTAAAGCCCTAAAGCCCTAAATGCCGGAAGCCCAAAGCCCAAGGCCGCCGGGAAGTGCGGCTCAGGCGCTGGCTGCTTGCGGGTTTCAGGTTTCAGGGTTCAGGGTTTGGGTTTTGGGGGTTCCTTCAAAGGGATCCTAGAAGGGTTCCTACTACTGCAAGTATAGGGGTTTGGGGTTTAGGGTTCAGGGGTTTAACATGTCATGTTACATGTCATACGAAGCGCTGGGTTGTAATTCTAGGAGGAGGCGGTCCTCCTCGGTCCTGGGTTTCATGGATGGCTTTGAACGTAGAGACTGCGAGCACGGACTCAGAGAAGACCTCTGCCTCTGGGGCGCGGCGCATGACCGGGAATGGCCAAGATTATGGAGCTTGAAAGGGTCGTGCGTACTTCTTGAGGTCTGAGGAATCTTGGAGGATCATGTGACTTAGTAGTTGGGGTTATAGATAAGGTAACTATACTTATAATTACATATTTCCCCAGTCAGGGTACTTATAACCTTACTTGCTAAGTCCCTTGATCCTCCAAGAGGTGCTGTCAGCTGGGTTTAAAACATGAAAACTGCGCAGGAACCTCCCACTGCGGCCGGCGGAAGAGTTGAAGGCGAGAAATCCGTGCTTGAACGATTGCAGCGAGTGGCGAGAGCCCATGAGGCTGTACTTGTTGAGTAGGCAACTGCAGATGGTGGATGGGGCGCGTGCCCATTAATTCTACGAGCGGCTAGTCGTCCTCCATCTCGACACAGATTTCGGTTTTGAGAGGGTAAGGCTGCATGTGTGGGCCGCTTCGGCAGATGGAGGGGTCTTCTCGCATGCGAGTTGGCTGTAGCTCAGACGACGACAGGTCTCTAAGGGATCAGCTCGTAGCCATTTTAGCAGCTAGCACAGTGTTGTCTTGTTGTCCAACCTCGCGCTCGTATTGCAGCTTATCTTGGGCCTGCCCTTGCTAGGAGCACATCTACAAGGAACTGGCACGCCTCTGGCGCGTGGTTCTCAATCGTCGTGGCCTTGGTCAAGTGAAACCTAAACCCCTACAGCCCTTAAAGCCAGAATCCTAAGCCCTAAGTGTCCATGTGCCCAAATGGTATTAATAAGGGTTCCTTTAACGGTTCCTTTAAGGGCCTACTATGACGGTCTACCATCATAGAGCCCTGCACGAGCTGGCCCTGGACCCGAAAACCAAAGCCCGAGACACTTCATCCATCAGGAGGCTCGGCTTGCACCTAAAACGGAAGAACCCTGAACAGGGAGGGAAAGCAAGATTTTAGCCCGGACCCCAAACCGCCGGCGTTTTAGTGTTGGGCGGAGAGAAAGAGCCAGTAACAAAAAGGCGTCTACTTATAAGAGCCACTAACCCCTTTAAACGGAACCTCATAAAAGTACCCTCAAAAGTGACCCCTAGAATAACACCCCTAAGCCCTAAACCCGAAGCCCTAAACCCTCATTCGGTGTCCTTTAAGGGCTCCTTAAAGGAAGCCCAGAAGACGAGGCTCCGAGCCAGCTGTTGAGTCCATGAGCATCGCGGACCACCAAGATGAATCTGTTGGGGCCTCGGTTTAGGGGTTGTAGTGTAATACTTAGGGTTTAGGGTTTGTTTAGGTGTTGTAGTGTAATACAGGGGCCTAAATGATTACCTATACTGTATTGGGGGTTCCTTATTTTAATTATAGTATAGTGGGCCCCCCAAAACCTTATTCTAAGTACTACGCAAAATAACATACTACAACATAGTATACTACACCTACTACTCCAAAAAATATGCCATAGTCTACTATAGTATTCTGGAATGTCCCATGATACACGATAATATACTGGCATGCGATGATATACTGGTAAAAAGCTATAGTTTAGGGTCCTTGTTCTGCGGCTGCAGAGTCCGAGTTAAAGCAAAACCGTCTAGACTTGTTTGGGCTTCATGAATTGTGCTGCAGGATTTACGTAGAAGTGTTACAGCCCTACTCCCTACACCTAAAGCCCCGTATTATAATTCGAGTATATTTTTCTCAAAGACTTTAATATCGACTTTATTGAAGGCATTGTCTTGTATAGCTTTACCGATATTTCCATCCCTATGTGCCAGAGCCGACCATCACTTGGATACCGCCCCCGCCCTGTGACAGTGAGTTAATATTCATTCATAAATATAAGTTTACTACATCAAAACAGCCCTTAGTATGACCCCTAACCCTGAACCCTTAAAGCCCTGAACCCTTAAAGCCCTAAACCCTTCAAGCCCTAATTGGGGGCAGCGCCCAAACCGTCACTGCCATGTTGCAGGTCGCCAGTTCGCTGGCTCGTGCTACCGGGACGGAGGCCTCCAGCAGCTTCCTAGGATGTTCAGGGTTTACTTGGAGGATCATGGGACTTAGTAATTGAGGTTATAGATAAGGCAACTATACTCATAATTGCCTATGACCCCAGTCAGGGTACTTATAACCTTACTTACTAAGTCCCATGATCCTCCAAGTACGCCCTTAAGGTTTTGGGGGCTTGGAGCTTCACAGAAGTCTATATACAAAAAGCTATAAATTTCGATATCATACTGTCTTATCTTAGCTTGAATTGTACTTGCAGAGGGTCTCGTGGTTTGCTGAGACGAGCCTTGCGCTTAAGTGGATTGCAAGGCTAGTTAGTCCTGCTCGCGAGTTAGGTCCCAAAGCGAAGGGCCATTTGAACTTACATCTATCCTAAACCCTAAGTCCTAAACCGGCCCTAAAAGTGTACACCCTAAACCCTGACCCTAAAACTTTCGACCGTAAAACCTAAGCCTACATGCGCAGACTCCCAGAGTGGGAGCACGGCGCCTGCAGGGGGTTGAGATTCCAAAGCACATCGCTCAAGGCCACTAGCAGGATCCCAGGGACTCCAAAACCCCCTAATGTAAGTCATATTCGGGACCCTTTTATGATTTACGGTGCGTTTCTTAATGGCAGGGTTTTGGAGGCTCTGGGATGTTCATGCAAAGAGAAGGGAACATATGTAAACCCTGGATCTTGTTCAGGAGCGTAAGTAAAGTTACTATACGAGGGATAGCAAATAACATGCCCTGATGGTCCTTGAATCAGAGTCCTCACCGAGAGCCCTTTCTCTGCAACTAATAAATGCTCGGATGCGGTACCCAGAGAGCCCAATACCCCTTTATTAAGGAATATACCTTAAATTAAAAGGGGGATTCGTATTATGACTTAAGTTATATTCCCTCAACTAAGGGGTATTGGGCTCTCTGGGTAGTTCTGCAGGCGACGATCGTCTTCGAACGTCCTCAGGCGGAACGCGGAGTTGTCGACTTGATGGATTTTGTATGTACCAAACCGGTCTTTGCATGGATACATCAACAGATACATCTGTAGGTACCTAACTGACAGAGTAGCTACCTAACTAGCTGACTAGCTGACTGACTCACTCGCGGACCAACTGGCCAGCTGACAACTGCCTCGCTGACTGACTGACTCACTGAATGCCTAACTAACTACCTAACTAACTAGCTAACCACCTAACCAACTGGCTAAGTATCTCCCTAGCTAGCTAGCTGGCTAACTGGCTGGCTAATTTCTACCTATATAACTACCTAAGGAACTAACTGACTAACTATTTACCTAGCGACCTAGCTAGCAACATATGTATACATCTGCAGACACAGGTATTTGTCCGTCTGTCTGTCCGTCCGTCCGTCTGTTTGTCAGGTAAGTATGGAAGTGTACTTGGACAAACAAACCATCGGCATGTATTTTTGAATGCACATGCTTTTGGCTATTTGCGAGTTTGCACACGTGTGTGTGTGTACGTTTGCGTGACCATGCATGCATGTGCATGTACATCGGAATGCTTTTGTGGATACGTGTGATCATGGACCTCTACATCTGTCTGTTTCTGTGTATCTCCGCACATTTGTATGAGGACCCTGGTTTGGAGCCTGAACATGATGTAGTTTGTGATGCGAACTGTCGATAGCACACAGGAAAATTTGGGAAACCTCAACTTGAACAGCAAGCTGCTGCACCCTCGGTGAAGACAATACCTGCGCCCTCACCTGCTTAGTGTAGTGGCGCAATGAGATGTTGCTAGTAGTGGTGATGTTGCTGATTGTGGCGGTGGTGGTGGTGGTGGTGGTGGTGGTGCTGCTGCTGCTGCTGCTGCTGCTGATCGTCGTCATCAGCAGCTTTCCAGTAGTTTCTACTGGTGATAGTGGTCAGGCGGCACTGCTGCTGATGATGGTGGTGTCCGTGCGTGCGCTGTGCTTTCAGCAGCGAGAAAGAGTAGTTGCAGCAAGCGGCGAGCACTCTATTCCGAATTCGAATCGCGGAGGATGCAAAGTGGCTGGTGGATATCCGACAGCCACCCAACTGGACCAGCGTGGAAGCCCCAGCACCGGAAGAGCTTGAAATCCTGCTTGGAACTAGGCGCCGAATTGGTGGTTAGGTCGACAAGTCAGAAGTAGTAGCAGCAGCGCTAAGCACCAGCCAGAGACAAGTTCGTTTCTTACCAAGACCTCTCTGGAACGCCAGGAGGCCAAGAGTCGATATCCTAGCCGAGCTTCACTCGAACTTTGAAGCTGAAGCCCTAATCTTTCATCCTCGAGGCGCAGACGATGTCCATCCGTGGCCGTGTTCTGCAATCTGCCGCTTGATTCCGCATAGGATGTATCCATCGGTGTCTCCCTGGCATAAGCTCGTCACGATATCTACTCGGTATCCGCTTCCCTTGATGTCCACAGCCAGGTGTAGCTCGTATGGTTTGCGGTTGCGTTTCCAGGGGGGACTTTTAAAGCCTCCCTATTCAAATACTTCAGCAGTGTGGGGTGTCTGGTCCTTCCGAAACAGGCAAACTAGGCCACGAGACCTGGGTACCAACTCTGGCGAATCTCAAGATACACTCAAAACCTACGCCTCGAAATGGAAAGTCCGAGTCAGCCTGAAATGGGCTTAAAACTTGCCGAAACCTCAGAAAGTCCAAGTACTATAATTACCATACAGTAGTATGTTTTACTATACCATGTTGTATTAATTATGTCCTATAATTCTTGCTTGTGCCAGCCTTAAAGGAATGGCCACCGCTCCCACCCCCCGTGGACTGGCGTCGCCTGCGTTACAAGGCCAGGCCTTTGCCCTTCCCTAGCGGAGGTCTGTTTGCGTTGTGGGTTTTAGGGCTTAGAGGGTCTGTCGGGTTTCTAGGGTTTATAGGGTTTAGGCTAAACTTATGAGTACATGCTTGGTGCAGCTTTCCGGCAAAAGGTATTCACACTGAACTGCTATTGTCTGTGGGGTTGCTGCTTTGCCAGCTGCTGTGCGTGCTAAGACGTTTGGAACTGTCTCCGCACCGCTGCTGCCCCCAGCCGCTTTGGCACCGGTGCCTCCGAGTGCATAACATGGCTAGTTCTCGCATTTTATAGAAGCGTCAGTCTCAGTACTAGTAGTCGTCGGTGTCAGTACCATCTGCACTTGTATTCCTCGTAGGTCGTCGGCGTGGTCGTGGTCGCTGCGGCTCGTCGTTGCTATCATCGTGTCCATCCTCATCCTCATCGTCACTTTGCTCGCCATCCCCCCCATCCAGATCACCGGCCCTAAACCCTTTGCCTTAAACCCGAAAAACAAAACCCTAAACATCACCAAAAACCGGTAAACCCCAACCCTCAATCTTGACCCTGGCCCTGCTTCGGATTGGACTTGGGCCACGTCAGCCATCGCGTGGAACAGAAATCGGAGTATTGGTCAGGCCGACACCGACGCTTCTTCGCAGGTTTCCTACGACACGGCCAATGCCTCAGGAGCAAAAAGAAGCTTTTTTTCTGCGGGTGCTTGAGGTTCACGAAGATATGAGACTGTGCAACACCGTGTTGGGTTTCATGCTCCCAATGCGACCACCACTACCCCTGTTACTGTCCTCGTCACTACCACCACCAGCTCCATCACCACAAAGAGCTCTACACCTACCGCTGTCTCTTCTCCATTGCCAATACAGTCGCAACAATTGCGCTAATAGCATTGCTAGCAGTGTTCTTGATGACGTAGTTGTAGTGACTACGTAGTGCTGCCACGGTTGACCAATGGTAATGACGTGGATTGCAATGTCATGGATGTCATGATGCTTTGACGAGTTCCGTTGGTTTAAAGTAAGTACTTGTAGCCTTGCTTCGGATGTTTTTTCGTACAATTAAATTGATTTTCTCACTGCTCCTTCACGTAATTACAGTGAAAGACCACATCCGCTGTAGGAGATTGAGGCATTTATTCCCAAACCCTAAATCCTAAACCCTAAACCCTAAACCGCCTTGAATCCTAACTGCATGGCCACATCTCCTTGTCGGCTCTGCCTTCTCAGTCTCCTGGGCAGCGAATCGAAGGTTTTGGGTTCCAGAGTCCTCGAGCCAAGCAGGCCGGGGATGTACAACGGGGGCCTAAAGAATTACCAATATGGGAGTTTCCGAAAATTAGGGGTTATAATAAGAATCCTACTATTAAGGGTGCTAAATTAGAGGCCGCCATTTTCGGAAACCTCCATATTCTTCCTCACGGTGCCTTATCGTAGCTAAGCCTGGAAGTTGGAAATCCCTTAGTATTCATTAAGGCCCCTATACATGTAAGCTTCCATACTCGATCGCATTCGGTGTCACCTACGAGGTTGGGACGAGGCGTTCATGCAGCCACGCCATCCAAGCTAGGCTGGAGCTTGACGGGTCTGAATGCTTCAAGGGTGTGAGTGCCTAAAGGATGTCTTTATCTGGATTTTCTGAGACCAGCCACTCTGTGCTTTGCGCATACTTGTATCATTCCGCGCCCCAGGCCTTATGTTGCCTGCAAATTATGGGCGGCGCATCGTTTGTTTCCAGGTTCTTGCTTGTATCATTCCACGCGCCAGGCCCCCCGAACGAAACCCAAATCCTACCCGCCTACCTTCAACAGATCCTCAACACCAGCACCCTGCATCCCATACACTCAGCGACTAAACACGTGAACACGAGACCCTATATTTGATGAATCCCAAACTCCCTATTGCCTATGAAGCCTTCGGAAGATCAACGAAGTGGAACAGCCTAACCCTAACCCTCAAACCCTCAACCCTAAGCCCTCAACGCTGAACCTAAATGCCTAGGGGGACTATTTTTTTTTTTCATTTTCGCTTCCTTTAAACCCTAAGAAGTACAATTTTTGCTGGGGGTCTAAGTTCAGTATAGAATTACCAGACACCCCAACTCCGCCCGAGACGGCCCGGCGAAGCGCCGGCGGTGCGGAAGGGCGACGACCACCCGCCGCAGAATCGGACCGAAGTAACGGGTTAAGATCGGGGCATGAACTTATACTAACACAATGGTAAGAAGAAAATGATAATGATGATGCTAGTGATCGTGGGTTTGTTTATGGTCAGTAACCGCAGACTAGGTGCAGGGTTTAGGGGGCTTTAGAGGGTTGAATATCGTGATCTGAATGATTCGACTACATATGGTTTTGGGTTTATCGTAGTATTCTTATGATAAGGGAACCGCCGGGAGAACGATGTTGGCAGCTGCTCAGTTTATATACGAAGCGTGTTTTAAGCATGGTTTCTTCGGCGTCTATGGCTTGTTATAAGCTGTAGCTTAAGGCTTTGATAAGGTTTCTGAGGCTTCTAAGTTCCTCTTGGGCTTCTATGGCCCATCAAAAGCTGTGACTTAAGGCTTTGAAAAGGTTTCGGAGGCTTCTAAGTTCCTTAAGGTTTCGTAGTTTCGGACTGTTTAGGGGTTGCAGGGCTTTAGTGTTCTTGCGAGGTTTGGGTTTTGCGGTGTCGGACTTGGGGCATAGCTCGAAAACCCTTAACCCCCAAACCTGTAAACCCCGAAACCCTGAACCCCTAAACCCGAAACCCCTAAACCCTTAAGCCTAAACCCCTAGACCCTTAACCCTAAAGCCCGAAACCTCAACCCCAAATCTTGGCCTTCACGTGTTTACACGCTGCAAACCAGGGAAGCTGAAGCACGGAAGGCCCTAGGCACTGTAGAAGCTGTGGCTCCGTATAACGGCGAGGTCTTAATTATTGATAGCCGTATTCCTGCATAATTCCGTCAGTATTGTATAATGGACCTAAACCCTAAACCTCAAACACTGAGCCCTAAACAATATTGTTAAGGCTCCCAAAGTTGGCCGTACAGGACGGTGATCTTGACCGGCATTGCCCATCATCTTCCAGTGTCGTGAGCCCAGGACGAGTGATCTTCGTAGGATCCCACAGTAGTAGGGGCCTGAATAGTTTTGGGTGTTGGGTTCTAGGTTACCGATAGGGCTTAAGGTTTAAGTCAGGTTCAGGGTTCTATCAGAGTTACCTATAACCAAATGGATTACTGTAATGAGGGTTTAGGGTTTACGGTTCTTGAGGTCCAAGATTGGCTCTGTTGCAGTTTTCTTCAGGGAAGTAGCCCTCCGTTTAGTGAGGGCTCCGGTGCTTCATAGTTTTGCTTCAGAAGTCCCTACTTGGAGGATCATGGGCCTTAGTAACTGGGGTTATAAATAAGGTAACTATACATATAACTCCAAGTAGGGTAATTATAACCTGACTTACTAAGTCCCATCATCCTCCAAGTAGTTACAGTAAGCCCGAAACCCTTAGCCGGGGTCCATGGCAGCGAAGAGTCCCTTCCGAAGCTCCCAGGAAACCGTGGAAAAATTGGATCATTCGGGGCATCTGATGGTGTTTTCTTAACGCGCCCGTGCTTTCATGCCAATGTGATAGAGAAGCGTCTAGCCGCGCGACCGCGAAGCGAAGTCACTCGCCTCTGTTGGGTTCGCTGTCGCGCACGGAGTGCGAACTGTTTGGGGGGTTCCATGGTTCTGGGCGCACAAGAAACATGTCGAGTCTGTCGCCGACGCCGACGGCAGCATTCATTGATACTGGGTTGTAGTTGCGTGCTAGACTAAAGGTATCACTCGAGCTGGGGAGCCCTTAGATACCTTCTGCTCCATACCCGGTCACCCAATTGTACCGAACCTCGCTCGTCTCGGGAACGGCCCAGGCACACTGTGCGCGCCGAGGCTGGAGACTCTTGTTTCTGCTTTGGAGAGGGTGCCGATGAAGGGAGGTCCAGGCAGAGGCTAAACCCCGAAACCTTAACCCTAGATCACTAACTCTGAACCCTAAACTCTAAGGGAAGAACTGGGAGTTTCCGAGAATAATAGCGGTACCTTACTTTTGGGTCCTTATAATACGGATCCTACTATTTAGTGCACTAGCTTAGGGTCCCGTAGGTTTCGGAAACTCCCAAAATTGATTTCGGTGGGTGCCCTAAGAAGAAATCCGATATTTCCGGCACCAGGTTCAGATCTTCCAGCCCAAAAGTGTTGCTAGCGCTGTTGTTAGTAGCAGAAGTATTACGTAAGCATGAAGTTCTAGAGTGTTAAGCATTTCGTATGTAGTATTGAGCGCTAGTAGTCGTATTCGCATGAAGTATGAAGTAGTGACTGTATTAGTATCAGTGTGATTGTCACTACGAAGTATTGGCATCCGCACCTGCCTTGGAGCCAAAACCCCGCAAAAAGAAATCGTGAAAGCTAAACCCGAAACCCTTTACCCCAAACGCCAAACCCTGAACCCCAAACCCCAAGCCCGAAACCCGAAACCCCAAAACCCGTTTACCTTTACCCCAAACGCTCCTAAACCCTGAACCACAGATCCTTGATCTTCTGCGACGGCTATGGAATCGGGATGGTGTGGAGCCAAGGGACTGGTCAGGTTTCGTTCTGGGTCCAAGGGCGCTCCGAAAACTAGGGTACCTTGTTTTGGGTCCTTATAATAAGGATCCTACTATTTAGGGTGCCTATTAGGGTCCTTTATTTTCGGAAACGCCCAAATAGTAACCCATAGTATTGTGGGGCCTCCTCAATATAGTTATAGTATAGTGGGACCCGAAACCCTAGTCTAGTTGTTAAGGCCCCTACATTACGGGTGCTTATGATATGCAGAACCCCTTATGGTTGGACTCTTACAACAAAAGCCTTCTGAGAACCTTAGAGGAACGCTTATAGAACCCATGGAGGCCCTGCCCAGAGAGCCCAGTACCCTTAATTAAGGAATAGAGCTTAAATCATGAATCATAATATGAATCCCCCGTATAATGTATTCCTTAATTAAGGAGTATTGGGCTCTCTGGGTGAACGATCCCCGAAACCCTCGTCTTACCGAGGTCTGAAGTTCGACCCCGAAACCCAGCTCCATCGCCGGACGCCCGGTTTCGGAGTTCAGGGTTTGCCTTAACCCTGAATAACCTACCTTTTTAGGGTTCCTTAGTATGATTTCTTTGTATAAGTCTTTAAAAATGCAGGTTCTTCGGGGTTAAGGTTGGGTTTAGGAGGGTCGTGTTTTTGAGGTTTCAGGGTTTAGGGTTTTAGGGGTTTGAGGTTTAAGGGTTCAGGGTTTCATGTTTTTAGGGTTCAGGGTTTCCTTGGAAGGATCTCTTTTAGAAGGGCTTTTTTATGGGGCGACTAGTTGGACGTATCCCATTTGTTGAGACCGGGGGGTTGTTCTGAAGACTGTAGGGTGCTCATAAGAGGTTGTAGGGGTATCTTCTAAAGGGGTTTTAAGGTTTTATAGAGGTTTATGTAGGCTCTTTCCGAGGATTGTGTGGGGCACCATTATGAGGGTTTTGTACAAGGGTTGGTGGAGGCTTGCATGAGGCTCCGCAGAGATCTAGGGCACCCTTTTGCCTCCGATATTTTGATGAAGTTTCCTTATTCAAAGCTAAGTAATCATGATGAAGGATCCTAAACCCTACATAAACCCCAGCACTAGGGAGGGGAAGGTGGTTGTGTAATATGGGAGTCGAGATACTTGGTAGTGGTATCCCCGTCTAGTCCCTTGTAGGGATGTGCTACAATATGGGAGTTTCCGAAAATAGGGGACCCTAATATAGTACTTTAAGATAGATGGTGGATCCTTACTTTCAGGACCCAAAATCAGGTAGCCTTTCTCTAGAAATTTGGATCCCTGAGCAGCTGCTGTGGGAATGTCGGGTGCAGGTAGGGGTGCGGGCACAGGCAAAGAGCCGTTCATGCTTCATGCAAGCTTTTTCTCGACATGTTCCGAGGTTCCCCAGGACCAATGTAAAAGTTTCCGAAAATTAGGGATACTTTATTTTGGGGTCCTTGTAATCAGGATCTTACTCTTTAGGGTACTATATTGGGGTCCCCCATTTTTGGAAACTCCCATGTCGGAGAATCATGGTCAAACGGCTAGATTGTAAGCAGCAAGCGCCAACCCGGAAGCTCCAAAAACCCTTATAATTAAGGGGAATATATTGGATCCCTTTTTTTGATTTAAGGTTCATATTTCCTTAGTTAAGCGGGTTTTGGAGTCTCTGAGAATGCCAGATCCCAAACACCTGACTGGATTCGACTGGGACTACTATAGGGGACCTTAAGGGATTATCAGCCTACTAAGGACCCTAAACCCCTGTAACCCTTACAGCCTTTAAAGTAGCCCTTAAAAGAACCCTTAAAGGCGCCCCATTGGTGGCCCCTAAACACCAAACAATAACCTTTCAATGTGATGGAAGAAAGGTGGGGCTGAAGGCGGCCTCACCGTTCGCCACTCCCGGCGCCCTGGCCAGGCCAGGAGGTTAGGATCGGGGCCTCAAGAAGTACCCATAAATCAAAGGGGAAAAAGAGGGACCCTTAAAGGGTCCTTATTAAGGGTCCCTCCTTTTACCCTTGGAATAAAGTTCCCAGGGCTCCTTTAGAAGGGTCAAAAATTACCCATAAGGCTCCTAGGGTTCCTTTATCGGGGTCTATAAGATAAGAAAGTGCTTCAATAATTACCTATACCTGTTTGGGGGGCTCCTTTCTATAATTCTAGCATATTGGGCCCCAAAACCTAGTCTAAATATTCAGGCGCCAGGAGGTTAGGATGACATGTAACGCTCTGGAATGCAGGTTTTGGGGCTTTATCGTGCAGCGTGTCTAGCAGAGTCTAGCAGTCTGCTTTGAAGGCCATGTTCCGTTCCACCCTAAACCCCGTTCCGTTCCCGTTGGTGCAGGAGAATGACGGCAGCTGCGTTGTCCGACTTCGGAACTACTGCGATGCAAAATGGCTTGTGGAGCAGGCCTGCGCGGGGGAGCGTGTTAGGGTTTAGGGTTGTTGAACATGGAAGCCTTATAGTAAACTTGCAAGAAGAATAAAGTATACCCAGAGGCCCCATGGTAGTGCCTTTTTGGAGAATCCTAGAAGGTAATTAATCCTAAAAAGGAACTACTATGGGGCCTCTCCTAAGCTCATTGGCCTGAAATGCCGGTGTCGGCCCATGCGGGAAGTGCACGGTCCAAACACCTGCTGGCTCTTTACCGCCTTTCGGATTTAGTAGGGTTATTTTGCGGGTAAACCTTCGGCCTATAACCCTAAAGTAACAGGATTCATATAAGGAACTCTAATAAGGACCCAGGGTTTCTTAATCATTTTCCTACATGTGTAGGGTTTGTATTGGGCTTTTTGGACTTCCGACAGGCCCGCGGCCTGAGCATCGAGGGCCGACCCCTGCGCGCGATGTGGGCTCGGCCCCGGGACGGTGGACGGTGAGTGGAAGAGTAGATGAAGCCTCGGTGGGCACGGGCACACTATTTGATCCCAGACTCTTCGTCGTGGTAAGACGCACCCTCAAGATATCCGCTTCCTCTTCGAAGCCATTCAAAACTCCTAGCCGGTGTGTTGCGGAGTAAACAAAACTGTTGGGTGCTTGGTCAGGAGCCTTTGTGCACATCAGCAAGGATCAGGTAATCTAGGGGCCTTAATGATTAGAATAGGGTTGGGGGTATATTGTTTTATAATCATAGTAAGGAACCCCTAATACCCTGTTCGAAATATTAAGGCCCCCTATACTATAGAACCCTACTATAGATCCCTTATAGAGCCCTTTAAAGGAAACCCTATTCTAATTATGAAGGCCCCTATATCTCGGTTCAGCGCGACCTTGCTTTGTAGCCTCGCCTCCAGAGCCTTTCAAGTTTGCCGGAGGTGCAGCTACGAGAAAGCCATGCAGATCTCGGGCAGACAAGCCGTAAGAGGTTTCGTGTAGGATATCCCTATCCTTACGTTTGCGTATGTGCTTTTTTGGACCCTGCTGTTTCCCTGTGATTTAGGAGCCACGACATTTCTAAAGCCATAAATGCAAAGCTCTCGATCGGCGTCTTCCGTCTTTGTTGGCGCAGAATTGGATCATGTAGACTCTACACGCGGAGTCAGTGAAGCTGCCCCAGATCTCATTAGACGGCAGCTTAAGCAGATCGCCACAGGTCGCGGAAATCGGATGCCGAGCTTCGATTTACATTGCATCTTGCCGCCCTAGAACCCGATACCCTACAGTAGACACCACAAAGTTGGAAGCCGGATTGAGGACAATTAGTGCTGGGATTCCCTGTACATTAATCCTAAGGATTGAGGCTATTGGGTTTCCAACTTTTCGGCCTATGCTATACACCAAGCAACGGGCGTCTTTAGAAGCCCTGATCAAAGAGACGACGTGCAGATCTCGACTCCGGTTCTTCCTCTATGTGGAGGCTAGGCGAAACAAGCATCTCTATGTCATGCCTATCTCTATCTTTGACTATATCTACATCCACATCCGTACCCTTGTCTTTATATGTGTATCTATACTTATGTAGGTATTCAATTCTCTAGATACATCCATATCTGCGTCCCTACTCATATCCCTTTCCATATTCACATCTCTGTCTCCATCCCTATCTCCGTCTCTGTCTCGCGATCTATCTACCTGTACACGTATAACACATGCATACACGGCACATGTACCGACAAGTAAACCTCAGCAACTACCGACCCTGCATTGGCCCTATTGTTTGTCACTACGCACCCTTGCCTGGATGTGTTTGTTGTGTATTTCGCGATCTACGATGGAACACTTTCATTTGAAACTTTTCGGCTCGCCCAGCCTCCTCAAGTCTCACAGGCAATAGAGAACCCTATACACCCTAAACCCTAAGCCCTAAGCCCTAAACCCTAGGGTGCCTGCCTCAAGCCTCAGATGCAAGAGAGAAGACTGGTGCCATGCAGCCTGAAGCAGGAGATGCCAGCGAGTGGCAATCAGCACCATCAACTTTTGTACCCATGGAAACCGCACTAGTTCCCTTTGTAGTAGTCCGTGTGGGAACTTGTAGCAACCCTTGGAACTAATCCTTGTGGTACCCCTTATGGTATCCCTTACAGTAAACCGTATGGCAACCCCATTGTAGTAACCCGTTTGTAGCAATCCCGACTACGGACACCAGGTCACTTCTTACAATTCGCAACTGGCAACGCCATCTTTAGCACCAGCGTACAGTAGGCTTTGTAGTTATTATTCTGAGAGTCACCCTTATAGAACCCTTATATTAAAATTAAAGCCTATACGAACCCTTGCAATAGGAACTTTTGGCAGCCTCCTTGCATGGAGCCCCTGGACCCCTGCAACGTGCCGGCGGGGGGCGCCGGGTCATAAGCCCTCGGGCGCATGTTGTGCCGTGGCCTCGGCAAGCCTCAGTACGGTTGAGGGTTTACTGAGTTTAGTGTATTAATGATTCGAAGAGAGTTTGGGGTATGTTTGTGGCATAATTTCATTACGGAGCCCCTAGGACTAGGAACAGCATCCAGGATTACTCAAGCCCTTCTAGGAGGGTTTTGGGGGCTTTGAAGTTCAGGCTGTGCAGTCAGCAAAGTTTCAAAGACCAGGCTGCAGACAAACAAATCTCGAGGTACCCCTAACCTAACCCCAAGCAACCTACCTTTTTAAGGACTTATAAAAACATAATCATATTAGGGAACCCTAAAAAAGGTAGGTTCCTTGGGGTCCAGGTAAACTCAAGACCCGAAGCCCTGAGCTCTAAAGATGTTGTCAGCGTCTCGGCGCAGCTCTACTTGGAGGATCATGGGACTTAGTAAGTCAGGTTATAAGTACCATACTTGGAGTTATAAGTATAGTTACCTTATTTATAACCCCAGTTGCTAAGTCCCATGATCCTCCAAGTAAGGGATGCCTCAGGTCTGGAAGCCCCGCGCCTAAGAATCCAAAACATAGAAGCCTCAATAGTTTCCAATATTACTCCCTGCGGGTTCCTTCTTGTACGTGTAGTACAAAAGACCCCGAAAGCCTAGTCTAATTATTGAGGCTTCTAATAGTCTAGAACCCTACTATACATCCCTTATGGACCCCTTTAAAGGGAACCCTAGTCTAATTATTGCGGCCTCCATATTGACTGGAGCAAAGGCGTGAGCCATGGCTGTCGCAGAGGAAGACCAGATCGAGGTCAGAGGGATTTGGACGTAGGGGCTTAGGGTTTAGGGTTCAGGGTTTAGGGTTGGTTTAGGGGTTTAGGGTGTAGTGCTATCCTCTGAGTCTAAATCCTTCTGGTAGTAGCTCCGCGGAAGTTTGGCTCCTATTGCTTGAGAAGCCTGTTTCCAAAAAGCTCACTTCTTCAGAAGAGCTGGCAGATGCTTGGGTCGGAGGTTCAGCAGGATTGTCGACGTTCACTCCGACATGGCCTTGGGTGTCCTGAGGGAGTCGTGGATCTCGATGGAAGGCGTTCAAGGATGTAGGCCGGAAGTCCGGGAAATGCAGCTAGTGGATCTCTGCAGCGTAGCCATGCTGCTAAACCCTAAACCCTAAACCCCAAACCCAAACCCTAAACCCCAAAACCCAAACCCCAAACCCTAAACCCTAAACCCCAAACCCCAAACCCCAAACCCGAAACCCCAAACCCCAAATCCCCAACCCTAAAGCCTTCTCCATCGCACCCGAAGCTCAAGCTTCGAACGACATGTCCCGGTTAGTCCGCACGAATCCTTGAGTGGCTGAAACTAGAGGTCCTGAAACTCTAAACTCCTAAACCCTGAACCCTCAACCCTAAACCCCTAAACTTAAAACCCTAACCCCTTAATCCCTAAGCCCTATAGGCCCTAGTCCCTAAAGCCCAGAATCCTCCGCCGCGATATCCGGGGGCGGCCAGGCCTTGTACCAGCCCACCTGCCTCAACGTTCAGGGCGCCAGGCCGGGCCAAGGGGCCTCGCATGGGAGTTTCCGAAATTTAGGGGTACCTTTAAAGGGATCCATAAGGGTTCTATAAAGGGATCTATAAGGGTTCTATAAAGGGTGTAGGGTTTCCGGGCCAGGGGCCCTCCCAGAGCCTGCAACACCCCTTTAGTTAAGGAAAAAAACCTTAAATCATCTAAAGGATCCTGTTATAGTTTAGGGTATATTCCTTAAGTTATAATAGGATCCCTAATATGATTTTAAGGTATATTCCTAGATTCAGGGGTTTTGGAGGCTCTGGGCTCGCATCTCTCCGTTTCAGGTGGCCTGGACTGTTAGAGTAGGGTCTTGGGGGGATATAAATCCTGCATTACCTTAAGGACCCTAAACTATGGGAATTATGGTACATTTCTTATTATGGGTAATGCAGGATTTATATCATCAACCGATTTATGTTCTGATAGGGACTATATGGTAACAAGCTATCCAGATTGCTGGGCCGCCTGCATGAGATTAGATGCCAACGCAGTGATCCTGCTGCAGGTGGACGAATTTCGGCTATCTTCTGATTGGCCTGGGGCTCGTTCTGCTCTCTCTCTCTCTCTCTCTCTCGCTCTCTTTTCCTTCTGAGTCTCTCTCTCTCTCTCTCTCTCTCTCTCTCTCTCTCTCTCTCTCTTTTTATCTTTCTCTTTCTCTTTCTCTTTCTCGTTCTCTTTATCTTTCTCTTGTTCTTTCTCTCTCTCTCTCTCTCTCCCCTGAGTAGTTACAGACGTCTTGCTGAGGACCGGTCCTCATCATTTTGCATGTTGGGCTCGCTTTCAGGCTTCATCCAGTTTTGCCTGTCTTGCACCCAGTTCGCAGTGAGGTGGCTCCACCGTTATCATGGCCTGCCAGTCCCTGGGCATCGGTCCGGGTTGGTCAGGACCTCAGTTTGAGAGCACCAGCGGCGAGGTGGCGCATGGCCAATGGGGAGTTTCAGAAGATTATGGAGCCGAATAAAGATCTCGAAATAGCGCGATCTTTAGTATAAGGACCCGTAAAGTAGGCGCTCCGAGACTTCAGAAGCCCCCAAAGCCCCCAACATTACCTTTCGCAAGAACTCGGGAAAAGTTGTCTCTGGGTTCTCTGGGTGCCCGCCCCTGGACGAAACCCTAAAGCCCAAAAAGCCCATTCAACCCACCCACACCACTGAGAAAACCCTGTTAGAATTACTGTAGAAGACCGGGAGGAAATCACCCTAAAGCCCCACAACCCTGCAGAATCCTTCGAGAACACTCATGAAACCTTGTTAGAACCCCAAACCCTACACCCTAAACCCACACCCTAAATTAAGCCTCAAACCCCAAACCCTTAACCCAAAGCCCTCCATCCAAAACCCAAAAAATCCTGAACACTATATCCCTACAGATCCTTTATAGATAGAACCCTTTAAGGAACCCTCTAATGCGCCCCTTCGGAGCTTTTTTATCTAAGGATCTGGAAGAGCGCCGACGATTGCACCACGGTGCTCTTCACCTTCGAGCTCTTGGTGCCTAGGCTTTACTTGCCCTAAACATGT